CCCCGGTAAAATATCAATGAGCTCCACCGTGGTCATCATACTTCACGCTAAGGGATACAAAAGTGGATGATTCCAGATGCCATCGTGAGTATCAAACTGTGTTGGCATGAATTTGCAGGCAAGTACCAGCCAGCATGCACACAGGACAGGCGCATACCCAATGCGTTACCAGGTCTTGAAGTCGCAACTACGATTACGCGCCGACACAGAAGTCGTCTAGATAGAATACTGATAGACCGGATCGTCCATGTCTACCGTTCTGTACTATACTGCAGAATTCATCTGTCGCTCTCAGCGAACCAGCCAAGGAAAGGTATTGTTAGACGATGGTGATAATAACAGAGCTAACAACTGCGGAAGACGATGATCGTCTTACGGTACGGGTGGAGAATCTACAGGTCACGACAAATGGTGTAATCTGCAGGGGCTTGCAGCAGCACACATGGACCAGACCAATCATCCCCGTCGTATCCGTCATGAAACGTAAGCTAGTCAGAGATATTGTGCATTCGTTAGAATGTCTCACTAGCACCACTGTGCTGTACCTCGCCACCAGTACACGCCCCCGTAAAGTCTGTCCGAAATACCAGTTGATCCGGAACCAACTTGAACCTTGAAACGTTAGTGGAAAGGTCCGACGATGATTAGAACACCCTCGGAGTCTCCAAGAAATAAAACGGGACCAAATCAGATCGCAGATGGAACTCTGAACAACTGGGAAGAAACTCATTGTAAACTGATCACTTACATCCTGCCCTCTCTGGAATATATTAAGACATGTGTTTTAGATGCCAGGTTCTGGCCTGATTTTTTTATATGATTTGTCTCTATTGAATTTTGTAATAAATTAATCCACATCCTCCCACTGGCATGGACTACAGTAGAAGATTTTTGTGGGGCTGTACCAAGTGATATGGACGTCTTCCCTGAAACCTGCCCTAACTCTTGCATTATGCTGTAGGAAACAGTGTTGCCTTCTTGTCAACCTCGTCTCGTAGCACTACTCCCATCCCTGGGTCCTCTACTACCACATTGATGTCGACAATGGAATTGACTTACGTATAGCCTATGGCTAATGCCTTCCCTTCCAGCCTACAGCTTCGGGAATGAACAGAGTTTCACAGGTTAGTTGCTCGTGGTGAAGAAAATTGTCATCAGTCATCTCCAAGCAAGACCATGACTCCTCAGTGTCTTACATGATGGGGTCTTCCCATCCTTTTTGCTACATTGATTGGTTCCCTCGTAAGTGATGCTGGAGAGAGGTGAGCCTTACCGCAGATGATGAAGGACTACTGTATGCCATGATTATTATGAGATTGCCAGAAACTTGTGTCCAGCAAAAGCACACTCTAGAATCATCTTCGACGAGAGTCCATTCCGGAAGTTCACTCTGAATAAAAAAACAAGGTGGAAAAGAAGCCGGCGGCATGTGTTGCACACTACCACAGAGGGCAGAAGAACGTTCACATGGAAGAAGTGAGATGACAAAAATGATACAGATTAACGGAAGGCTACGAATCTCGAAGTACTGCCTAATAAAATAAAGGTGATGATGATGCTGTAAAAGGTGGCATGACGTCTGACTGCCAAATTTGGTGGCAATGCTTATGATTCATCAGCAAGATGCTTCAAATCAAATCATTTGTACTGCGGCTTTAGCCCAAAAAGAATGGTTATTCTCTTCATGCCCAACTTCCGATAACCACACCATGCTTCCAGCAAACACATGCTGCAATGATACTATTCTTTTCTTCCTTCGAGGGGGCTACCAGCAATGTTCCGCTTCTAGGCCATTTATTCGAATTGCCTTCAGGCACAAAAGCAAAAGACTTCTCCCTCGGGTCTTGGAGTAAAGTGTAAACAGACGATAAGCGCGTCCGCAGTAACTACTCACCAACATTCCCTCAAACCTTTCCGTCAAAAAGTACCCGTTTTTCTACACACGCTGCAGTGCTGCGAAGCATCATCACTTACAGGAGCATCAGATAAAACCTCGTATCCTCTTGCCTCCTTTCCTGCCTTTGAAAGAAACCCTGTCTCAAATAGCTTCGACTGAAACATACTATAACATTACAGATGCCTTCCTTCAAATCGCGTCTCACTATATTGACTGAGACATATTATACTTTTGTATAAGGTTACTACCTTGCTCACGAAAGTTTTGTGTCGCGTATCACTGCTTATCATTGGGACTGTCGATTTCTGACCGACTGGTTCCTTGAGTATGACATGCTCCGTTTGCTCATAAAGTATTCGTCAGCACACTCCTCATGGAGCAAATTTCCACTCGACTCTGCATCTCATAAGATAGTGAAAGTGGATTATCTGCAAAATTTTACTGGATTCAGTTTACTTCTCAATTGACTGATGAATCTTATGATCAGTCTCCACACTCTTCAACAGCATGAAGAAGGTGAGTCCAGTGGAAAAAGGATGCGAAACCACGACAATGACGGGAAAGGCTCAAAACAGTGGAGAGGCTGAGCACGGGGAAATTCCCCGTTCTTTCGTAGAAGGGAGTAGTGAATTTTTACGCAGTCTCGTTGTGTCCTTTCTACTGTGTTACAGATTCTGATCCCGCTCTTGTCAGTGTCAAAATATTACCAAGCAGGTTGATGAAAACCTCTTGAGCTTTACTGTTTGGTAAAGCTTGCGTAAGATAGCTTAGGAATGGAATCTCCGCTTGCAAAAAGCAAAGTACAATGATGAGCTTAGAGTATCGCAGATCTTTGAACTCGACATGGACCAAGAGCTCCCGCTCAAGAATCTTATCTATCTCCATCTAGAGGCAGATAATGGTGGAACGACAACAAGACAGAAGAGAGCAAGTAGCATTTGGATCTGAATATCGATGCGAGGTTACTTTAGGAGTGGCAACTTGGATGTCTTTCCAATGTAGTCAGGCACATTTACTGACTATCCATCTCATGATGGATAGTCAGTTTACACATTAAGGTGTAAATGTGCCTATCCATCATGAGATGGATAGTCGACTCTGTCTGTGGATAAATAAACTGGAACGCTTTTGTCCGTTAGTATGCTTCCACAGAAAACAGAATGTCGAGAGTGAGTGAGTTTTAGCAGGGAAAAGAAACTTTTCATTCTCATCTTCAGTATCAATATTTAGCATGAGGTGAAAACGCATGGCGAAATACGGGCAGATAGCGAGGCTGTCCACAATTCCAGATAGTTGGGGCTGCATCTGGTTGCAATCAGTTCGAATATTGTCAATCATATCATCACGGTACTCTTTCGTACAGAGGGTCACCCTTCATGTCACCAGATCCAGAATTACGATTAGCTGAAACTTGTCGGATTCAGCGAGAGCAGTTGATTCCAAGTTGTCTACAGTTGGATCCACGAGAGGTAGAATGAGTATAAAGCAGTGGAGATTGTTACGTTAAAGTCACGCGATGGAATCTTCGGGGGCCCCTTCCAACACCCTAACGAGACTTCAAAGATTCCATTCTCTTATAATGCATGTAGATGTGGCGGAGCGAGAGAAATTTGTACCTCTAGGCCAACTGTCGCTAGTGAGACGCACGGTTCACTTTTCCACCGGAGCTAGTGCGGCATTGCTAATAGTTGTCCTCATGAAGAAATTTTCATTCACATTAAGCTCTCTGGGGCTTTCAAACCTTTGATTTAAGACATGAACGAAGAGAATAGTTTTAGAGGTTGTTGTTTTTCAATCGCCATGACTCTTTCCCAAACAACTATCCTAAAGATGTTCAAATTCACCAGTTGGTCCGAGATTTCTACGTCAGGTTTACAGAAGCTGTCATCGGCTGACTGATAGGGTCAGTCAATGCTGCCCTCCGAACATGAGTCACCAGTTTGGAAAAACTCACAAACCTTAGATATGCTCATGTGATTAGCCCACATGTGTCAAGTCTCTTGGACAATGTCTCAATTACTCTCAACTGAACGGTGAAAAGTTGGTGCAATATCTTCCTGGTGTGCCAGAAAACTCCGGTCCTCTTTCATCTTTCGACGTACTTGACGACTTTCTTGTCGTCTTTGCTCGAAGGACAGTCCGCCCATTAGTAAACAAACATCTACATGGTACATGCCAGTATGGAAGTTGCGGTCGATTCTGGCTCTCAACCTTCGGGATGAAATCATGGCGTAAATTGGACGCGGTGCTGATGAGAGTGTTCCTTCTGCGAAGAATCCTCGTCATGGGCATACGAGAGTACTCATACAGTACTCATATATTGGCACGTGCGTACGCGCAGTTTCCGATGCACTTGCGTTCGTTACTCAGCTAAGTATTCTCGGACCTCCTAGAAGATTCGGGGTATCAGCAGATTATATTTGAACACCGGATCCACGACACCCGACGATTTTGAAACCATGTGACATCTTTCCTCACTGCCCCACGGCATCCTTCGTGAATATTCGGAGGTAGTACATGCAAAGCGCCCAAAGTTTAGTGTTCCAGTAAACTCCTTGGGGGCTCCGAAAATCAAACCAAATTACTAAAAGTTTTAACGGTGAAAGCAAACTGGACGGGGTATCACCCACTACAAAACCGCAGAGTATAGCTTCGAACCTGCAGTTCAAGTCACAGATTGCACATGGTGACTTCAGTCCGTGCGTTGAGTTGAGTCTCTCGTGGAGCAACCGTCTGGTCTCATGAATCACATTGTAAGTTCGTCACCACGAAACGGCCTGTGTGAGCTTCCAGGCAGGTCGTGCTGTCGTGGTGATTGCTGAAACCTTCTCCATCAACATAGTATGGTCATATCACAATCGTTAACACAGAGCCCCTTTCCACTTACATTAGTGGAAGGACGCACTGCTTTAAGATACAACACAAATGACTGCCAAGGCAGGGCTCCACGCTCGCGATCGAACATTTGGTGGTGGAAAAATGTTGTGCGATAAATACGTCGTCTCAACGAAATTGCCTCCCAGCACGCTTGGAAACTAAATAACATCTCGCTGGCTTAACAATGTCATCATGAGGTACAAGTAACGTGAAGTCATCGAGCAGTGCGATAGAACACAATCATGGATAAATTTATCTTCATAAAAGTAGGAGATCCACATACGTAAACCCCAACCCTACCTGACCAACTTTACATTGGCGAGGTCTGGAATCCCAAAACTGGGCGAAGCACCGTGACAATGTTTCTGAAACCGTTTATCATCTAACTTATCCTCTTTACATGTGTGACTGACAGAATCCTGATAGAAAAAAAAAAAGCACAGTTGACCAGTTTTGCTCTAAACCACAGCAACAAGATTTGCAGTGGTCTACTCTGCTTGAGCGAATGAAGTACTACTGCTCCTCCAGCGTAGATCAAAAGTTGCACGGATGTGCATAATGTACAAAGTTAACACGGTTGGAGGGGCGAAACGGGCTGCTTCAAAGTCCTGATGCTCCTCCTGTCTGATGAAGCATGGCATCAATTTCATCGCCATCTTCCATGTCAAGCTGCATCAGAACGGCAAATCAAGAGATCAGAGAAAAGCATGACTGGTAACATCTCAGGCCGTGGGTGAACCTCTCAAGTGCAGTACATGAAATTTATTGAAGATGAGACCGGCTAGGACCGACATATAAACCAAGACTATTTCCGTACAAGGAAATAACTGCAATTAAGACAATTGGATTCCCATTATTGAGAAATCAACCAATAGAAACAAAAATATTATGTGCGGACGTTCGAGTTTCGACTGCATCACGCGGCCGACAATAAACTCATAGATTCCTGTCATGCTACAGAAGGATGGAGAATCATATTTCATTTACTGCCCTAACATGGACAACAATTTGGTCAGGTTCAAGAGAGGATGGATGAAATCGTGGGTTACCGAAATAAGATGGTGACCGAATGGATCCACAGACACAAAGTGCCTGTTTCCCCTCATTTATGTGAAAACTACTTCGTAAAAAGATAGAAACCGATTTTGTTATCAACTATCAACTTTGAACCGAGAGATAGAGAGTATATTCAATATAAGAACAAAACTTGTAAACATGAAAGGCTACGGCAAGTACCTCAGCAGGGGTCTGATCTGCACGCAGTCGCCTACCATCGAAGAGGAAGGCCATAGAGCTCGAGTCAACAGACTGCCGCTCGCAATAAGCATTCATTAGCTTGCGGAGGGTCGCAGAGCTTTTAATCCGGAAGAAGACTTCCCCGCCATCCTGGAAATAAATTGAAAACTCCATTAGTCTTCATACTGAACAACGTGAGAGATGAAAGGGATACCCACCATGGCGAGTTTCACCTGAGGCTTATCATATAATGACACGCCGCACTGTATGATGGACCATCGGGTGCGACGTACGTGAACCGTCGTCCACAATAGAAAAAAAATACTCGTGAGAGATTTCAGCTCACGAAAAAGCACAAGCCAAACTCCCCATCTAAATCCACAATGAGGCTCCAGTTGTGAAGTATAACACAACGTCCTACGGGAAGACCCCGATTAAAGCAGGGGTGAGTCTTTCATGTTCAGAAGGAATCACCCACCAGGGTTGACAGTCGTCATTTTGAAATATACTTCAGAACAATCGAGGTACTGATAACCCCGCAAGAATAAGGGAGTAAGGAGAAAGTTCACTTGAAACTTTTGTCACTCCTCTTTTGCGAGCGAGTTGGCAGAGAGACGAAAGGAGAAGCATCCAAGACGTGTGAAAGAATTTCATCCATTCACATTTACAATTTCGAGAAAGCCAGTGGGCCATCCTCTGACTGGAAAACTCGGCAAACACACAAATGCCAGGGAGAAGACGATTGGTGTAATTAAACGACCAGCCATCCAAGAAGCTGAAGAGAGAACTGGAAGAAAAAAAACCAAATATTCTCAAGAAACAGCAGACGGACACAACATCCGAAAGAACGATTAAAATTACTCACCTGCCCTTTCACCTTCAAGTTTATATGGGCACCATGGTCGAGCGGCTTCTTCTCCTCCTCGTTGTGCAAGGCGGACCCAGCAGTGTTGCTATCTTCCACACCGGCCATATCCCAAGCACAGTCCAATCCTCGGGGAAAAACCACAGGCAGGAAGACAGACAGACGCAACACGCACAGGAGGCTCACGAACTCTCACTCCCTCGCTCACTCGCAGAGAACTCAGCCAATAGTGGGTGGTGAAGTAAAGACTTGGACACGAAGCACTGACAGAGAGCCGAATGGATTCGCGGGTCTTCGCGCCTTTATATTCGAGCAACTACAACACAAACAAACACAGGCCCAGGGCCCCCAGCGCGACAGATGACAGCAAGCCCTAGTAGTGATGGATGGCCCCGTCTGCGCTCACTCCTCGCAATCGCGAGCTCTCGACGTCCTCGACTTCCTCTCTTGTTGTTCTGCCAACTTCGCCCTTCCTGAACAAGACCGTGCGGGCCTTCCTCCCTTCCTTCCTGCGCTGCGACCACGTCCCCAAATCTCCCGGCTTGCGTCCCGGCGCCGGACGCATTCCGCACTCCTCCTCGTTCCTTCGTTTCCTCGTTTCCTCGTTGTGTCCTTCGTCCTTCGCGGAATACTAATACGGTATACGGATACGGTGCTGCATGATCGGCATGTTTCGGTGGCCCATACAAATATGTGAAAATCGCCGGGCGCGACCATAAACATCTTCGGAATACATTATTTTGACCAACGGGTTATTTTGAGTATTTGGAGGACCCGACCTTCGTCGAGTCTTTAGGGACGTAGCCTGCCTATCCTCAGTTCACGATAGATTTTTTTTTTCCTAGTCTTCTTATATTTGAGCATTTTTTTACGGTATATTTACTTGTTGAAGGTACGAAGTGAAGCAACCATCTAAATGATAATTTGAGAGAAATTAAACATTTTCATATCCCTCACTTTCTTATTCGAGTTGAACACTTTTATATTAATCACTTGAGTGAGTCAAATAAAAATCAATCATGCATGAAGCATTGAATGTATGTGAACCAACTTGTTAAGTCCATTCACCCATTCATTGAGTCATGTAACGTCTACATCGTCCGATATATTTTTCCTTTGAAAAGGAGTGGCTGAAGGACTTTTTAGTTTAGCAACCTCCCTTGTAGACTCGAGGTTTCGCATCTATTTGAGAAACTTACACTACATTTGAAATTCGCGACATCAAATTTTAGTCGAAGCCAAACTCTCTATCAATGTCGTAGTAGGATCATCAACCTTCTGGTCTTTCAATGTGGAATACCAATATCAGAAAGTAAAGTAATAATGATTAATTATACACATATATGAAAAACATATCAGTTTTCATATTTTGCTCAACAATTCATCTACATTATTGTTCACCAAAAAAATCACATTTTTTATTTGTTGTAAATCTATATAGAAACTCCGAAGTACATAATGCTTTATTAACTTTTTATTCATTTTAGAAATTTAATTGCAGCAATTTTCACGTCGTGTCCAAAATATAATATAATTATTATTCATATCTTAAGACTTCAAATTAATTTTATATGCAGATTAATTTTTGAACTTTATATTACATAAAAAAACTATTCGAATCTATATCTATATTTATTTAGTGAAATTGTGATTTTTCTATAATTTTTATCACTATCATTTTTTTATCTTTTTATATTTATAAAATATGATAGGATGATACAAAAAATCAAATTTAATTGAAAATAATCTTTTTTTGACATGTGACTTTTTCAATAAATCAAGAAATTATTCATATGATGAATGTCAATTTATTGGGTTTCATTGATATCAGAGTCTTGATGAAGTATATTCAACTGCACAATGGTTACTTAATTAGCGTCATATAAGGAAGATCTTAAAAGTTCTTAATGACACAAGTGAAGATTTTGTAGTTAGTTTTACGTGTTATATGTGGGTGTAATTGATAAACCACCTATCTCTTGTGTCCACTATACTTATTTCTAACACTCTCATGCAATTAGAATAAGATTGGTATGTCGATCAATGGAGTGAAAACTATTTAATGAAGTCATATAAATCTTGTTTGAGGAAAATGCTCATGAAAAGATATCATAACTGAATAAAAAAATTGCTGAAAATTTTAAAACATTAAAAACATAAAAAACATAATGCCTGGCTTTTAATCAATGAGAATAGCGATAGTTTATTATACATTTCAAAGATAAAGTTATTTTGTTGGTGAATTTTTTATATTATTTATTTTAAAACAGTTTATTAAACATAAATAAATTTGGATATCCCTGTAAAATTTTTTATGTTAATTATAATATGAATTTTTTAAAAGTGATAGAATTAAATCATTATTTATATTTATATTTATATTTGAACGTATTTACATGTTTATATAATTCAATCTACTCCGGTTTTTTTTGATAAAGTAGTGAGGTTGTGGGAAGTGGCAAAAAAAATATGACCCATAATCAAAATATTTTATGTGATGAATTATATTTATTGCTGATATTTCATTAATATTTATAGATTTTCCTGATATCATTGGATGTAATTTTTATAAAAATATAATTAAAAATACTAGGTAGTCTTCAAATCATATGATTGATATGTCTTACGTTTGAAATAGAAATTATAATTTTCAGCATAAAAGATAAATATTTGCAAATGTCATGTATTGATTTCAAAAATTATTCAAACATTTTATAATCGTATGAGTGTTTTGAAATAACCTAATCCTATATTTATGATTCCATCTTATATTCTGCTGAATACATATTTTAAATTTCGAACGATAAAAGTCAATGATTTAAGTATTAAATTGAATAAAAAACATAATTTAATTATTTAAATTACGTTATTTACGATACAATTATGAAAAAAATTTAATTGAATCTTACATTAAAAATGATATTTTATATTTTCTGTACCTACTTTTTTTTAGAAGTTAAATATTCTTCAATTGATGAACGTTTTAGTCTTTTCAGTTAAAATCAAAATAATTTATCTGTATTTTGTGGAATCTTTAGTCTATAAGATTTTTTTCAAAATGATATATAATGTGATATATATTATATTAAATTTTATCAATCAATCTTCATTGTCAAATTATATTACATTAATTATATACTTTTGTTAAGTTTTAATTTATAAAAAATATATCAAGTTAAAAATTTCAATTAATTTTAATTTCTTTTTTGAAAAATATAATTATCAAACTTGTAGAAAATTAAAGCTAAAAACATTATATATATACATTATTATATTATAATCTTCTATGTTAAATTTTGATAGATGTGTGAAATGATATTAACTGAAAATGTAACTATTATTTTAAAAATAAAATTATATACTTGGAGTTTTTGTACTATATGCTCATATAAATTTGGGATTTTAAATCATATGTAAAATTCAGTTTTTCACTATATTACAAAACATTGAAAGGTTAAGAAATAAGCATATCCTCCATGCAGAAAGTTGTAAATATAATACGAAATTTTGTGCCTTTGCTTACATCTTGTGAAATCAATATATTGAGGTGAAATTAAATAAGTTTTAAAAATATTTATTTACGATTTTTAAAAATTATCTCTGTTTTTTCCGTGTATTTGAAAAAGTGAATGAGGATATAAATTAGAAGTTATTATTGGATGAAATAAAATATCAATGTCTGAATACTTATTACATGATAGAATGATCAAAGAAGTATGATAGATATTTTCAGAAAAAATATAGTATTTATGAACGGAAATTTCACGCTATATTCAAATCTCATTAAAATTTAGGAGATTATACCACCAACTAGGTCATTGTATAACAGTTATATGTTTTGAAATTTCCTTAACTTGCAATGATTACTCATAAGTGATAATCGCATGAATAGTTACATATCCAAGGACCAAGATATGTGCCACATTTCATATATCTATAATTAGCCAAATTGTGGAAGTTGCAACTGAAAAACGCAAAGGAATCAATAGTTTTCTTTCTAATGCTTTTGTGAACACCAAGTTCCATGCACTGCATTACTTCGAAATTTCATACTGCAATCAATTTTTTTGACTTTATATCTATACGCATGATCTGGAGTCAATGGCACGAATCGATTTGTTTTCTTCCGGGTCCACATGCTGCGATTGGATGACTGTGAGCAACCGTATTCGGTGAGATGCCTCTCTAGATGTAACCCCTTCCCTAGCTTAAAACAAATCGATATTCTCGAACGCCACGATTTTTAATTACGCTATATTTACGTAAGATTCAAAAAAAGTTACCATAAATCAAGCCGTACAGAAGTGGGAGGACTGCCTAGCTATAGTTACCAATCGGAAGACCTAAATAAAAGGTCGACTTTTCACATCGATGAACAAACAAACAGTTTGTTTGACTGGACAAACGGTACACTCGAAGAAAGTCCCGAAACGTCCAAACCGAAGAAGCCTTTGCTTTCAAGCAAGAGCAATGATACTTTCCGTTAGTCCTTGTTTTTGGTACCTTTCAGTGCACAAAAGCTCGTCGAGCGGTTCTCAACTCGATAAGCACCAAGAATTGAAAATGCCAAGTATACGAGCATGATTCCAAAGGCCCTTCGGCTGTTTTGGACTCATATTGTTGTCGAGAGTTGGATACACCGGACCACGCTACGAGCATATGGGAATAAATCTATGAGAAGAGTCGCATATTTTCTACCCACCCTTTTTGCCGAAGATCGAATTAAAGGGAGGGTCATGAGTGCGCATGGATCTGTTTTTCAAAGGGGAAAATATGGCTAGTGCTCATAATCATCACTACAGCGGATAGAGATACATGGGATCATGCCGGTACCGAAGGCGGCATTATTAAGTAAAGGGCTAAAGGGGCCAGAGGGAAAGAAAAGGTCGGTTAATAACGTCACAAATTACAAATGGTACGTGCACCATCGCATGCCCATGGGCAGCCATGCCTTCCCCTCGTCGAAGACGCCATGGCAAGCAAAGGCGGGCAGTTACGTCCCATCGACGTCTCCGGCTGCCAGTAACCACGCGCGTGACCGCCCGGCGGAGACTGTGGTGACTCGCGCCTCCGAGGTTCGACCGCGGAGGAGCCCAAATCAAACTCGGCCGTAGATGGAAGAATCGAACGACGGCAACCGATGGCTGGGCTGAGGCCCGAGATAGAATCATACCCGGCTGGTACATGAGGCGATTCTGTACGGGGAATCAGAGTCGGACGTGAAAAAGTCGGGCGCGAGCGACCGTCGAGATGCGCATCGGACGGCTAAGGAGCGGCTTCCGTCGCTCCATGAGGATTCTCCGACTGGGAAGGACGAATTGGTTACCAGGACGTTAGTTACTACGGTAGGGACGTAGAACGGAGCGCCGATGTGCCCACCTGGCCCCGGGCGAGCGAGGTTGCTTGGCGGGGGCGGTCGCCCAACGGGGCGGCAGGAGCACCATTCTGAGCGCGGTATGGGAGCGAGGCATGCAGATGGAGCCGGGCCGGGTTGGGCCGGGCCGAGCTGAGCCATGCGGGGCCACATCAGTCGGAAAGGAGGAGGGGGGCCGGGCAGGCGGGCAGGGCAGGCGCGAGGCCGGGAAGGGAAACAAAGGGTGAGGGAGCAAAGATCTCAGACAGGCGGAGACGCAGGAGCGAGGGGAAGGGAAAAAGCGAAAGAAGCAAGGGGAGAGGAAAGGGAGAGGAGGAGGAGGAGGAGGAGGAGGGCAGGGCCTGGAAGCGGAGGATCGGACATTGATCAATTGCAGGGAAAAGGGAGGGCGATCGATGGGGTGAGCGGACGATCGATGAGGAGTCGGCCATGCTGGAATCGGGCGGAAGCGAGGCGAAGGGTAATGAACCGGAGTGGGACGTAAATTCACGGGGGTTTGGTTGCGCTGGACGAGGGCGAGGCGAGGATTCCCATTTGCATCGGCCGATCAACGAGGGCTCCAAGCGGAGGGACGACAGGCGGGGAGGGCACGATGGACGATGAAGGCGGAGTGAGATGGCGAGGCAGGAAGAGGTGACTCGATTTCGAGGACGAGCAGCAGCATCCGCACGGCGTTGTGGTGGTGGTGGTGGTGAGGGCAAGCAAGCGAGGGCGATAGTTTGCTAGCACAGGGGGCGGGGACAAGAGAGGTTTCCCGGACAGGAAAAGGGGAGGAGGTGGCGGGGGAGAGCGCAGAAGGGGTGGAAGCGCCTCGTTATGGAGGCGCTTCAGAAGGTGGTTGAAGTACTAGAGAAGCCCGGGACGTTGCCACAGCGACTCGCGGAGAGTGAGGTCCAGGATGGGCTCCGGCAGCTGGAAAGAATTCTTGTTGCTGCGGTGGATGGAGAGTCCCCCGGCGTGCAGGGATGGACCAAGCAGCAGCAGGAATTTGTTATTGCCGTCGTGGAAGCTATTCTCTGCGCCTCTTGTCATTTGGTCGCAGGTTTGTCGTACCTCCCGTCATCCGTCCCACAATTCTGGTCGCTTCAATTTTGAGTGATGCTTTGGGACGGGTTGGTTGGGCAGCAAAGTCGAGAGTCCCTTTTTTGTATCAAGATCCGGTTCGCCCTAGTGACGAATGCCATTCTTTCATGTAGCAGATGGCGGTGACAAAGAGGTTGTGGAGCAGATCTATGGGCTTGCCGTGCAATTGTGCATTCAGGGCCTCGAGAGTTGCCTCTCGAAGCCTGGCACAAGTGCCGTACTTCTGGATGAGGAGGTCGGTAAATTCTGGACCAATTCCGTAGATCTGATGCTGCTAGTCAAATTGTAATTTGGATTCGAATGTCCTGAATTGTCATCCACAGCGTCCGCGAGAATCGACAATCTGTCTAGCAGTGGACAAGCAATCTTTCTTCCGGATGTTAAGAAGTACATGGTCTCCACTAAGATCTCCTACTGAGGGGGTCAAGGCCCCTGTCTGTTTAAGTTCTGTCTTCAAGTGCCTCTCCTTTGTGAAATTGGACCCATTCGAGGGGACGATTTTGTGGTTCAAGGTCCTCAACCATCTATCCTCCACTTAAGCGTATCTGGATAGAGGGTTAAAGTGGATTTTAGGTCAGTTGGTGGGTCTGTTCACTTCTTAAGGTTTGTCTGAAGGTCGTCATGTCTCATATCTCCGCGTGAGTGATGCGGTCTTGGGGTCCGGGCCAATGGCTGGAGTGTGTATAATTTGAACTATCGGCAATTCAAGGTTGTTTCAAACTGTGTCGCAAGCAGGCACAAGCATTTTGTCTGCTTGGTATGAATGCTTATTCCGAACTTTTTCGATGAGCATTCTTTAGAAAAACACAATGGAAATCATCTCGACAAGGTAAAACCCTCCAACACAGCTTTGGATTGTTGAGTGTCCTGTTCCGAGGAATTGTAGATTGTATGGAGAAGAAGGCCAGATAGTGTGAAAGAAGGCGCACAGAAAATTATTTTGTTAGGGTTGGTTCATAATAAGGAAGTGGTGGTGGCTATCACAAGGACTCATTGTTACGATAATTCAATTGCTTTTAAACAGATTAAACTTCTCAAGACATGGTTGACAGGTCCCTTAGCTCCGGCATTGCTTGTCTTGTTTTGGAACAACGATTGAAGTTTCGGTAGTTCAGTTATTTATAAGTAGCCTTGTAATAGTCAAAATTTAATCCAATCTAACGGATTAGCCCGGCAAGAGAAAGATGTATTAGTTTCCATTTGACTGGTTTGAAGGCACTTAAGTCTCATCTGTTACTAACGCAGAGATACATTGCATGAAAGTGCCCGCCCACATTTCACTCTAGATAGGTGATTTCGCTTAAACTTTCTTTTTTGTTACTTTGTTCACTGCATCTTGCATCTGTAAGCTTTGGCTGTGCATCTCCTTACTTTATATAGTTAATGTCTCCGATCTCTGGTCTCCTTGGTAATACCCACGTGCTATACTCATGTCGATGTGCTACCATCTAAAAGTACTCACGAAGGAAAAATAAAGATTGGCGATATAGAAGATGAGAAAAATACGTTAAGCTGCTCTTTTCATGTGTATGAGCTCGTCAAGCAAAGCTCTGCAGTTCCAGATAGTACGTACGCCAGCCAGGCTAACCGATTAGCCCAGCAGTTAAAAGCTACATTTGATTCCATGTGATAGGTGTGAGAGTGTTGGCATATAGCAAGCCTATTCTTGCATTTCCTTGATTTACGAATTGGATATGGAGGACGTAGAGGTTGTGGAAACTTTAGCTGCTATACGTTGCATCTTCATGCTCCGTCCTCTGGTCAAGTGGGTACATCACTGCAGTGAGGAAGATTAGGTACAACACAAATTTCTGCTCAATTTGCTATAGTACATACATCCCGAAAGTTTATGACATCTGAACATTACTGAAGAAGGTTGGTGGTGTTGAGTTAATGTAATATTGAGTCGTTCAACGCCGTGTCGTCTGCTTATCTTGGAACACCCGGACAATACCGCAACGAGGAAGACTGATTGTCTAAAGGTTGAGAGCAGTGTTTTGTTGGAACAGCTGCAATCTTTTATCGTACTTTTGAGTCACGTATATACCTACTTGTAGGACCCATCTTGGGTCTACGGGAATGGATTGCATTCAGGTACATTTGTATCAGAATGAAATCGTTACTGTTGACGGTGTTTTACCGATTTGTAGAGCTCCATTGAGTTCGTATAACCCGTTTCCTTTCTCTAAAAAGGCATCTGTTTAGTATGATGACGAATTTCTTCGTTGATGTGCAGATGCAACAAAAGCTGTTGTTACTTTTGGAAACAGCCCTTGTCGAAGGAAAGGCGAGAGATCGTGGGACTTCCTCACTCATGTCTCTAGGAGGCGTGGTCTCAGAAATTCCAACGTTTGACTTGCCGATTAGGTTGGACGGAGACGTCCACCAGGGCGCCAATTGGGCTTTAGAGGGTAAGCCATACCGCTCTGGAGGGATTCATGATGACTTTCAAGATCTGAGTCTGTTTACCTTTATGTGAAGGATGATATACTTCTACTTAGTGACTGTACCTTTATATTAAATGATCTGGAGGATCCTTAAACTCGGGTGGCTGAAGGGGGCAATTTGAATTTTTGGACGGCTGTCACGATGCAGCTTGCACTGAAGTACATATCCTTGTCCAGTCTCTTTACCTAGTATAATGCTCATGGTCTTAGAGCTGGTTTCGGACATTGAAAAGCGTGTCCACAGTTCACGCGAAGACGTCGTGTCAAGTAGTCAAAGAAAAAACTTATTAGTTATTCTCGATTTTATCCTGTTGGCCGAACTTTGTGACATTTAGCCATCAATGTATGCTCTAGCCGTATGGGAACGTATGTGGGCAACAAGCTTATAGGGGCCAACATGGTGTAGTTTACTCTCAGTAAGTACTCTCAATTTGGGGATTGCATTAGACTAGTTCAAGATACAATAGAAGTAGAAGCCCATTCGTGGGCCAACTTTACTCCCAACTAATCAGCTCACTGACTGCTTAATACCCATACTATAGTCTAAAGATCTTATTGGAATCTAGTGAACTACATGCTGGGTTTCAGAAAGTTTATGGCCTTTTGAAGACAATTTGGGGTAACTTTAGTGTTCATGAAGTAGATACGTCCAGATATACAAGTTTTCCCGTAGAAAGCCGTTCCCTGTTGATTCCATCTGTTGATCAAAGCCTCATACAAGGTCTTGTAAATTTCTGAACAAAAGCATTCAAAGCTGCACTGATATGCTCTGATATTATATCTTTGGGAGCGTCATTATATAGTCATGCCGCATTGCCTTCGATACATGCCGATGGTATGTAGTCTTCCTACGTTACCGATTATTGACAGTTTGAGGAAAAAGATCAGCTGTGGAAAAGTGGTGATCAAGTGGTACATCGAGTATCCACTTATAGAACTGTGACGGGAATAGATATGCGCTGACATCCCCGTTGTAAGTGATACCAGTGCAAGTAATCGATTCTCTTAATGTGCATGAGGAAGATCCATGTGTAACAATATTATGGATCCAACACTCTCTTAGTAAGGCAGTAAACATTATACGCCAATCGTATGAATATAAGTATACAGTGGATATTACGAAGTGCTAATGTATTGTGATGTATCACAGGGCTTTGAAAAGAAGTAATTTCTTACTTTTTTTCAACCTGTCACAGAAGCAGGAGGTTGCACTACTCTAGAGATTGGAGCATCGGAGAATATCCTGAGCCTCCTGGCTAGCGAGGAGCTTGTGGTTCACAAACTTACCGGCAGGGGTTCGGATGCAGCTCGAGTAGATGTCCTTCTGAAGCCTGGTGTCACCATCGTGGCTGCTGCTCAACAATTCGCACTGGTTCATGTGAAATGCATGACGCGTTTACTGTCTTTATGCCAGGCGGTACTGGCCTCATGTCAGAAAGTGGAGTCCGAGGAAGACGTACGAGAACTGCAAGGAAGGGTGACACTGGTGTCCAGCATCGTGAAGCTCTTACTTGACCTGTCGAAGGCTTGTACAGGCTTCCAATTTGAGGAAGCGGTTCTCAAAGATATTGTAGAGCTAGCCGCCGCAGTGCCCGTACTGTTCGAGCGTACGTATGATTGCGGCAGCATAGAGCATGATTATCTTGTGGAGACTAATCTGGGATGCTCACTCTCTACACTTATAGATGAGTTGATTCAGCTTTCGAGCTTCGTCCTCCCAGATTATAACATTTTTCTGAATCTGAGAACATACCTCGCTGCTTCCTTGTTGGACTTGCTAAGCGGGGCGAAAGGAAGACACGAGGGGCCCTTGGCAGGGCAGCCTTTCCCTTTGGTTTGCAGGCCGCAAGTGATCAGTCGCCTACTTGGGCTGTTGCAAGATGTTCATGGTCACTCTTCACAAGTGATGTCCAAAGTCAAAGACCGTGGGGCTTTGGGAGAGAAGAGCGAGAGTTGGCGGGTAAGCTCAACATCCGTCCGCTCTTGTAAGCTTCGTAACCAAACTTTCAGCTTGAGTGAAGTACGAAGCAAGGATTCTCACTTGCAGGTCTTATTCTCCGAAGACGGTCTCTGGCTTGATAACCTGGTAGCAGCTACTGCTCTTCTCCATGCACAAGGACTTAAGGAGGGCTCAGTTGTGGAGACGGCATCATCAGTTCACAGCGAAGAAGAATCTGCGGTTGGCTCCGTAGATTCTGTAACTGTGGCCAGCGAGGATGATGCCCTGTTTGGTGATCTCTTCTCAGAATCAGGCAGGCATTCTGTGATATCCGAAGGAAACGCTCAAACCAGCTCGTCTGCGAAGAAGTTAGATGGTCTTTGCAATGCTCCTCTTCAAGCCACACATCAAGTAATGTCTTTCCTGAAAGACTGTATATTCCTTGCTGACTGGCACAAACCAACCTTCCAAGTTGCTTGCGAGAATCTGTCTAAAGACCATCTAGATGTTTTCCTTCAAATCCACTTCTCACAGTCGAGTATCGGCAGGAAGCAGACTTCAGCTTATGAGGTAGTGGATTTAGAATCCAGTTCAGATCTTTTAGCGCAGCTTCATAAAGGTTCCTTTGATTTTCTTCAAACTCTAGTTTTAAGACATGTATTGTCCGAGGCACTGGAAACACATCTTGCCAGTCAAATTTTAAAAGAGGGGGATTCTGGGAGAGCTCTCACAGCAGACATTCTTGTAGTTCTTGCAAGGCTCCTCCTGAACCGGTCGGGGAGAACTCGAGAAGAGACAGATGATCCTTTGATATTTATGCTTTGGAAGAATTTTGTTGATGCTCTTGTTAATAAGGCCAAAAGTAAATTGGTTGACATCAATATGGAAAAGGCTTCTGCATACCTACCATCTTTGTTTCACATGGAAGTTCTTTTCATGGCCTTCCATGCTGCCAGCATATCCGGACGGGTAAAATTGTTGCAGAGTCTCTTGTCAGCTTTGAAGTCCCTGCGGGGTAGTGAGAAGCAGCTTTCTTCCGGGCCATCTTTAGCCGTGTGGTCACTGTTAGTATCACGACTTGTTCTCGCTATCAGGTACCTTGCACTAAACTTTAACACCTTTCCTAAGTGGATACTCATGCACTTACGGAGGAACTTGAGACCTCAGTCGACGGAAGGAGGGAATACTCTGCCGTTGGATGATAGGCCTCTTCCTTCGTGGGCTGCCCTTTCGGCCATCAGCATACGTTGCCTGCATGGGGCCAGGGACCAGCAAGGTGTTAGTGACGTGTGTTGCCAGGAACTGTTTGATGTGAGTGAGTTTTGTGCTGCCGGGCTGGAGTCAGAAGGGCTCAGCAGTTTGCACCTTGATCTCTGTGAACTCGGCCATGTGCTCGATGATCTGCTTGAGATCTGGAGGGACAAGACTGTTAAGAGTGTAGACGAGCTCTTTGTCGAGAGGTATGTGTTCTTTCTGAGCTGGAGTATCTTGCACACAAAAGGTCCCGTGTGGAAGCCTATTCTACCGTGGGATATGAATATCTCAGGAGGCAAGCTTCTTGGTGCTGACTTCTTCTTTGGACTTGGAAGAAGTCTCCATGCCATTATCCGCCAGAATTGCAGTATCGATGTCGGTGAATGGAAGACCTACATGTTACATACATTCTCGATGATAGAGGAAAGACTGTCGGCGGGAAACATCAATTTGCATTCTTGGGAGTTCCTTAGGCAGGGCGCTTCCCTAAATCTTCTGCTATCATTGCTACAAGCTGGGCTGTGGAGCTTCTCAGAAAAGCAGAAGTCTATTGGTGAGGGTGCTGACAGTTCTGGGCTGACAAAGGAAGGTGATCTTCTTGATTTTCTGGAGCAGTATGTGAAGGTAGTTCTGACGGATGGGGGCCTTGGCCAGCTGCTCAAAGCTCTCTCCTCAATCCTTGCTTGGTATGTCGATGCCCTTCGCAATAGTGTCTCTGATGTTTTGAGGGATAGCAATCGTCACGGTGGAGTGTTTGCTTCTGCTGACTTGTTACTCAGAGGAGGCCTTAGTGGAAGTAAGCAACCACATCTGCTGGAGTCCGCTGGAGTTGATGTGGAGATTGTGAAGGTACTTCTGAAGTGGGGATCGGCTACGTCTTGGAAAAGGGACATCACGGACTTGCTACTCGAGCCAGGTCATGATAGTAGAAATTTCAAGGATGTGAACAACATATTTCTACCAGCTTTATTACATGGATTTCCTTCAACATCTCACCCTGGAAGTGCTGCTGTAGTTTCGTCCTTGCTCTCTCTGGAAGGAGTTCTAGAGACTTTGGAAGGGCTTTTCCAAACCCAAGCCATGGCTGGGGGTAGTTTGATGGCTGCGAAGGACGACACTCATCTCGGAGGTATCCTTGGAACTGTCATGACAATGATGCTGGACAGTACTTTTGAGAACGTTCGAAGCAAGTGTGTCTCGGTGCTGGATTCTCTTATTCCTTCGAAGGAAGAGCAAGCAAGTTGCAGTGACTTGTACCTGCTTCGACATGTGGAGGATCTCTTTGGTTCACTAGCATCGAACAGTGACGTGGATGCGATGGTCAGAGAAGGAGTCATCGTCCAAGCAGTTGATGCAGTTAACAGCATTCGATTGGATCCTGCAAGGAATCAAGTTCTCAAAACTTACTATTTTGCTGCTGAGTACAAGGAAGATCTCGTCGAGAGTAGCAAGAGGGAGGGCAGGTGGAAGTGGTGGAATGCCAAGTCGCTTGTAGGGTCGGGAAGTCTCTCACCTGTCATTCATGTCTTGAATGGATGCTCCAGCGATTTGGTGAATATGAAGATACTCCAACTCCTTGTTGATTTTGTGGGTGCCGAGAGCTCCGCACAGCTGCAGTTCAAACTGGAGTTGCAGAGGAAGTTTTTGGAAATGAAGACGAAGGATTTAGCAGCCTGGCTGGAGCTTAGGCTTCTGGGTAGTATGTCTGGAAATCCGAAGGATAACAGCTCGCGTGTCCTGGCCTCGTCTGCCGTGAGGGAACTGTCGTCCAATTTTCTTCAGATGCTGGTGAGTCTGCCTAGTGATGCCCAAGATAATGGGCTGAGAAGTCATCTGGTCGAAGCCCTCCTCATCAACCTTGAACCGGCATTTGTGAGCTACGATGTCTCTTCTGCTAAGGCCTATTTTGGTCTTCTGGTACAGTTGGCTGTTGGGGATGCTCTACTCAAGCAGTTACTCAGATCTGTTGTTTGTCTCCTTGAGAAGCTGAGTACGAGTGGCACACATCTAGAAAGTCTGAAATCCATACTTGGGTATTTGATTTCGATGTTCGTGGCCTGTGGTGCCCACAAAGTGCCTACTCAGAGTTCTTTTGTTGATGGGAAACATAACAGTCGCAGTGCTTGCTCACACCTTACTGGTGCAGGGACCTCCAAGGCTAAACCTTCCATAGCCAAAAAGGGTCCTAATGAGCTGCTTCATTCTACTATCAATCCAGGTGCTCCAGCTGCAGATGATGCAACTTCTGTAGATGAAGATGAAGATGATGCTACATCTGATGGTGAACTAGCAAGTTTGGATAGGGATGAAGAGGATGATGGTAGCAATAGTGAGAAAGCACTTGCTTCTCGAGTCTGTACCTTTACATCTAGTGGCAGCAACTTCATGGAGCAGCATTGGTATTTTTGTTACACATGTGACCTCACTGTCTCAAAGGGTTGCTGTTCAGTGTGTGCCCGAGTTTGTCACCGGGGACATAAAGTTGTTTATTCTCGTCTTAGTCGTTTCTTCTGTGACTGTGGAGCTGGAGGTGTCAGAGGTAGCAGTTGCCTCTGTTTGAAGCCTCGAAAGTACGTCTCTTTGACAAGCAATCTTCCAGCAACAAATTCTAGTGGGAGTGAATCATTCATGCCGGTGGCCGGAAACCCCCCTTCACAGTCAGACAGTGACTCTGATGTTGAAGATGACGTTCAGTTGGATGGGGGAGGAGCATCCAAACTTTCACTTTCGGAACAGGAACAAAAGGAGATGCTGTCTTTCTTGACAGATTTGGACGTTGAGGGGCAAGTATTGTCTTTATGCAAGAGGCTTCTGGGTCAGCTTCATAAGGGACAGAAAGTGTCGATCAGGAAAGATGAAGAAGTACTGCTTGGTGGCGACAAGGTCCTGAAGGGAAAGACGGACGTGTTGCAACTCAAGAGGGCCTACAAGAGTGGATCTTTAGATATGAAGATCAAGGCAGAGTACTCAAATGCACGTGATCTCAAATCCCATTTGGTGAGCGGCTCCATCGTGAAGTCGTTGCTGACAATTAGTAGCCGAGGTAGACTCGCAGCAGGTGAAGGTGACAAGGTGACGATTTTTGATGTGGGTCAGCTGATAGGTCAGCCAACAGCCACCACTGTCACAGTTGATAAAACAACCGTAAAACCACTCTCGAAGAATGCAGTACGATTCGAGTTGGTGCAGCTTGCCTTCAACAGCGCTAACGAGAGCTACTTGGCAGTTGCTGGGTTTGAGGACTGTCAAGTTTTCACCGTGAATCCACGTGGCGAAGTAACGGATCGTCTCGCTGTTGAGCTTTCGCTTCAAGATTCTCATATCCGTCGTGTAGCATGGGTTCCGGGATCCCAAGTCCAGTTGGTGGTGGTGACGAACAGGTTTTTGAAGATATATGACCTGTCACAGGACAAGATTGCTCCTACTCATTATTTTACCGTGTTGGAAGATTCAATTGCTGATGCATGTCTGGTTTCCATAGGGCAGGGCCAGCTTTTGGCACTTGTTCTTTCACAGCAAGGAGTACTCTACAGCCAGCGTGTAAGAGCCGGAGGTGATCCTGGTGCGCGTATTTTGACTGAGAATATTCAGTTGCCAGACTCCCTTAGACCAGTCAGAGGAATCTCTTTGTTTTACTCCGCTGCCTACAAACTGCTCTTCATGGCCTTCGGTGACGGCTTGACGGTCATCGGTCGCTTGAATGCGGATCTTTCAAAGTTTGTGGAAGTATCAGCTGTACTTGAGCCCGAGCAAGATGGCAAAACACGTTCGGCTGCCTTACATCACTGGAAAGAGATATTTGAAGGCAGCGGACTGTTCATCTCATTGTCCAGTCATAAGTCGAATTCGGCAGTTGCAGTGCTGTTGGGAACTGCAGACTTGCAAGTACAACCGCTACGAACTGCTGGGAATGGTGCTTCATTGAGGGTTGATGGTATAGCTGCCTACCGACCTATGACAAAAGAAAGAAATAGTGTCCTTGTGCTGCATGACGATGGTAGTCTTCAGGTATTCTCGTACATACCTTCCGATGCGGATGCTGCCAATGGGCCAAGTCTGGAGGTGCCAAAGCAGACTTCAAATTTGGAGGCAGAGCAGGTGAAGAAACTGGGTGCTGCGTTGCTAGGAAGCAGGACACAGACTGGAGCTGCTCCTGTCTTTCCTCTGGACTTCTTCGAGAAAACGCAATGCATAACAACTGATATCAAATTGGGGGGAGACGTGCTTCGTAACAGTGATTCAGATGGCGTGAAGACGAGTCTGGCATCAGATGACGGATTCTTGGAAGGACCTAGTGCAAGCGGTTTCAAGGTAAGTTTCCTCGCTCTTTCATGAATAATGTTTTGTTGGCTGTTTTGCAGTGAAGACGCATTATTCTAGTGTTAATTGAAATGTGTTTAAACTAGTTTTCATGAAATTCATCTGCGATACCAGGAGTAATATGTGATTGAACCTATATGACATGCAAATGCTTAATTGGGCAGCAAATTTGATATCAAGTTCTTACGTTGTGCGTAATGCGCAGATCATCGTCTACAACACGAACCCTGATTTAGTCATGGTTGGTTGCCGGGTGCACGTGGGGAACACTTCAGCGAGTCATATTCCTTCGGAGTTTCGCTTGTTTCAAAGGACGATAAGGTTGGAAGAAGGCGTGCGGTCTTGGTATGACATACCTTTTACCAATTCAGAGGCCTTGCTTGCAGACGAGGAGTTCACTCTCACCGTGGGTCCTACTTTTAATGGTTCATCCTTGCCACGGGTTGACTCTTTGGAAGTTTACGGGCGGTCTAAGGATGAATTCGGATGGAAGGAGAAACTTGACGCCGTTTTAGACATTGAATGTCAAGGCCATGGTGGCGCCGCTGGCTTGGGCGGAACCAGTGGTAGGGGAGCAAAGTACAAGATGATGCAAAGTGCGTCCTTGCTGGAACAAGTGTTTTCTGATAGTTTCCATCTGTTGCACAGCTACTATCTGGCTTACCGATCTCAATCTACCTTAGAAGTTGAGGAGGTCAAACTAGAGCCTTGCCGGAAGAGATGTTTACCAGTTCTGGAGACGGTTTTTGAAAGTGATAGTCAGCCTCTTCTGCAGTCAGCAGCCAGACATGTTCTGTGTGCTCTCTTTCCAGCAAAGGATGCCTATTATCAGGTTGGTGCCTGCTTCGAACATCAAAACCATCTTCCGTCTAAGATGAGCTACTTCTTGAAAACACTCCTATTGCGATGCCTTCATGTCTAGATGTCCACTTCTGAAGTTTGAAGGCATGATCTGCATTGCAGGCAAAGGATTCAATGCGGCTTGCAGGAGTAGCGCGTTCGTATCCGGCTCTCACAGCAAGAATGTCGGTTGGAGGTTCTGCTTCTTCACGAGTCATTCAAGAATTCTGTGCCCAAATGCAGGCAGTATGCAAAATTGCTCTGCACCGTCAGTCGAATTTGGCAAGCTTTTTGGAATACAACGGTATGCGCTGAGTGGCAGTTCTTTTTCAAGCTGTTGTAAATTGTACTGACCTTTAAGATTGCAAATTCCTTATACAGTTTTCGGCGCTGGAGGTAATTCGATTTCATTAAATGGGAAGCAGACGTACTTCTGAGGTTACTTACCAATATTCTCAACGGTCTTAATGCTTGATGTCGTATTGTGAACGTGAAGGCACAACTATTGTGGATGAACTGGTGAAGGTCTTATGGGAAATCCTTACTTGGGAGCAACTTGACGCACAGACCATAAACAACTTGGTTATCCCCATGGTAGACCTGATATATGGTTATGCCGAGTGTCTTGCCCTTCATGCAAGCACTGGTGTGGCGCCCAGGGTGTCGGTAGCACCGGCCGTTGCTCTCCTTCGCCAGTTATTGTTTTCATCGTATGAAGCTGTACGGACTTCCTGCAGGTGGGTTCCAATTTTTATGCTCAACATGAATATGGTATTGTCATTAGCATGAAAGGGCGAAAACACTTCAAGGTAGAAGTTTTGAATTGGAACATTTTTCATTGTTTCCTGACTCTGAAACTCGCTGTCTTATATCTCAAGAGATTTACTGTCGAATATCCAAGCGTTTTAACACGGGTCTGCGTGTTCAGTTTGGCTATCTCGTCGACTTTGCTCCAGGTGCCGCTTCCAAAGCAGACAATGCTAGCAATGGATGATGTCGCTGAGAACTCAAGGGCACCATCATTACCATCGGATAGTGGGAGTGGGAGCGGAGGTGCTGGACAGGTGATGATGGACGAAGATACTGGCACGGCATCTGTACAGTACTGCTGCGATGGATGTTCGACTGTACCAATTCTCAGGCAACGTTGGCATTGTAACATCTGCCCGGATTTCGATCTGTGCGAAGCTTGTTATGAAGTCATGGATGCAGACCAGTTGCCTCCACCTCACACCAGAGATCATCCGATGTCGGCCGTACCAATAGAGGTGGAGTCCACTATTGGAGATGGTAGCGATATGCAGTTTTCATCTATCGATGAGTTGAGTGATGAAAGCTTGCTGCAAATGGCAACCGAGCTCAGTCTGCAGGCAAATGGTTCGCCTGCCTCCTGTAACTCTGGCTTAGATGCCGGTGAAGCTCTTTTGCATGGTACCACAGATGAATCGAAAGGTCTTCCAATCTCAGCATCCAAAAGCGCAGTGAATGGGTTGTTGTTGCAGGGACTTGTCGAAGAGATCCAAGGCTGGATGAGGACAAGTTCTGGGGCCCAGGCGCTACCCGTCATGCAGTTGTTTTATCGCTTGGCCTCTGCTTCTTCGGGCCCCCTCGTAGAGAACATCTCAAGTGGCGGGGGTTTGGATTTGGAGAGACTGGTACAGTTCATGCTGCAGGAGATGGACTTAAACGTTCCTTTGACAGTCAAGGTGCGCTCGAATTTCGGAGAAGTGATGATACTTGCGTTCATGTTCTTCACCTTGGTACTGCGCTACTGGCATCAGCCTGGTGCCGAACAACAGGCAAGGTCGGGAACTGGGAATCAAGATGCCGCACAGAGCTCTCAGCAGTCATCTGGTTCAACCTCATCGTCTGCGAATGATGGGCAATCCTTGGGAGATGCTGGATCGCAGTTGGAGCGAGCATGCTCAACGTTGCGACATCAACTCCTGATAAATTACCTTCTAAGTATCGTTCAGCAACTTACACATATATTCAAAAACTCTTCAAGAGGTTCTGAATCTGTACCAAGCAGTTCTACGGGTTCTGGTTGTGGATCTCTGCTGAGTGTTAGAAGAGAATTCGCATCGGGAAGTTACACTCCTTTCTTCTCTGATTCTTATGCCAAGGCTCACAGGGGAGATTTGTTTGGAGACTTTCACCGTCTTCTTCTGGAGAGTGCATTTCGCCTAACTTACAGTCTCATACGCCCCGAGAAGTCAGAGAAGTCAAGTGACAAGGAACAGGTGACCTACAAAGCTTCCACAATTACAGATCTCAAACTTGATGGCTGGCAGGAGGTCCTGTGTAACTTCATCAACAATCCGCACACCACGTTCATTAGGAAGTACGCTCGGAGGCTCTTATTGCACCTGTGTGGAACCAAAGGGCATTATTACAATGTCAGAGATACTTGGCAGCTTGGCAAAGAGGTAAAAAGGCTTTACAAGTTCGCTCAGAAATCTGGTGGTTTTCAAGTACCAGTAGTATATGATAGGAGCGTGAAGCTGGTGAAATGTTTGTCAGTGATTGCCGAAGTGGCTGCAGCCAGGCCTCGTAATTGGCAAAAGTACTGCTCCAGACATGTCGACGTCCTGAAGTTTCTGCTGAGTTGGATCTTTTCATTTGGTGAAGAGTCGGTCATCCAGACTCTTAAACTCCTGATGCTAGTCTTCTATACCGGCAAAGAGGTGGGACCCCTTTCTTCGAAGTCACAAGCTTTGCCGGACTTGACTGAAGCTGCTGCTTCCACAAATTCTAACAAAACAGGATCTCAGCCTGGGGATGCAAAGAAGAAGAGAAGTAGTAGCGATGAGGGTTCATCCGTTACTGGTGCCACGGATAAGTCGTACATGGATATGGAGCAGGCCGTTGACCAGCTTGCGGCGGATGATGGAAAGATTCTCCGTAACTTCATAGACTACTTCTTGTTGGAGTGGAATGCTGCATCAGTCCGGTATGAAGCGAAAGCTGTTCTACACGGAGCATGGAATCATGGAAAGCAGAATTTTCGAGTTCTGATGTTAACCTCTCTGCTGGAAAAGATCCCCGTGTTGCCGTCGTATGGGTCGAACATTGTGGAGTACACTGATCTTTTGACATGGCTGCTCGGGAAAGGTGCGCCAGATGCAACCGTCAGTAGTCAGGAATCATCTGTTGTTCAGGGATGTCTGAACGGAGAGGTTGTGACGAGAATATATGGTGCACTTTGTGCTCAAAATGAGCTTCTCGCGAATCATCCGAACTCCCGCATCTACACAACGTTGGCAAGTCTGGTCGAGTTCGACGGCTACTATCTGGAGAGCGAACCTTGCTTGGCTTGCAGTAGTCCAGAAGTACCTTATGCCAGGATGAAACTGGACAATCTCAAGTCGGAGACGAAGTTCACTGACAATCGGATTCTTGTCAAATGCGTCGGTAGCCACACCATTCAGAGTGTGACTATGAATGTTCATGACGCACGTCGCTCAAAGTCTGTGAAAGTTCTGAATCTTTACTATAACAACAGAGCTGTGGCAGATCTCTCAGAGCTGAAAAACAACTGGTTACTGTGGAAGAGGGCTCGCAGTTGCCAGTTGGCTTTCAATCAGACGGAGCTGAAGGTGGACTTTCCTATTCCTATCACAGCCTGCAACTTCATGATTGAGCTGGATTCATTTTACGAGAATCTCCAGGCTTCTTCTCTCGAATCATTACAGTGTCCCAGGTGCAGTCGCTATGTTACTGACAAGCATGGGATCTGTAGCAACTGTCACGAAAACGCATATCAGTGCCGTCAGTGCAGGAACATCAACTACGAAAACCTGGATTCGTTTCTCTGCAATGAGTGCGGTTACAGTAAGTATGGTCGGTTTGAGTTCAACTTCATGGCAAAGCCAAGCTTCACCTTTGATTGCATGGAGAATGACGAGGACATGAAGAAGGGTCTTGTGGCCATTGAAGCAGAATCCGAGAATGCTCATAGAAGATACCAGCAGCTGTTGGGATTCAAAAAGCCCTTACTGAAGCTTGTGTCAAGTATAGGAGAAACGGAGATGGATTCGCAGCAAAAGGATTCCGTGCAACAGATGATAGTATCCGTACCCGGGTCCTCATCCTTCAAGATCAACAGGAAAATTGCCATCTTGGGTGTTTTATATGGAGAGAAGTGCAAGATGGCATTTGATTCTGTCAGCAAGAGTGTGCAAACTCTGGAAGGTCTGCGACGAGTGTTGATGGCTTACCTGGAGAGAAAACGTTCTGCTGGACAGTCTTCCAATGCTCTTCCTGTAGCGCCGAGGCCACAAAATCGATGTTTCGGGTGTGCAAACACCTTTGTAGCGCAGTGTCTTGAGTGGCTCCAAGTCTTAGCTAAGCAGCCACAGTGCAGACAACAGCTAGTGGCTGCTGGAATACTCCGTGAGCTATTTGAAAATAACATTCATCAAGGGCCAAAGGCTACTCGAATACAGGCGACGACAGTTTTGTGCACATTCACGGAAGGCGATGCTACAGCTGTTGCTGAGCTGAACAACATGATAAAGCACAAGACCATGTACTGTCTGGATCATCATCGGTCCATGGATGTTGCTGCTTGCGTTAGGGACGAGCTCCAACTTCTGTCAGAAACCTGCTCTCTTACAGATGAATTCTGGGAAGCCCGTCTACGTGTTGTTTTCCAGCTTTTATTCCGCTCTATCCAGGTTGGGGCTCGTCATCCGGTCATTGCGGAACATATTATTCTTCCTTGTTTGCGGATTGTTTCACAGGCATGCGCTCCACCGAAATTAGAGGCTAGCAAAGGTGAAGCGACAGCCTTACCGCTTGCGCAGAGACGATCTGATCCGCAAAAGAGGACAGACTTACAGGAACGACCGGAATTGCAGCAGCGATCTGATGTTCGGTTGGCAGATGCCGTGAAAAGTCCTCTTGTGCAAGGGAGTTTCATTTCCACTAATGGCAAGGTTCAAAATGTCCTGTTTGAGAAGGAAACGGAGGTGGAAAGACGGTCGCGAGATACGCCTCTTGTAAATTACATTGAGTGGAGAAATGGTGCGACATATGCAGACTTTTTACGGAGGCAGTACATGGTATCTCAGCTTACGAAGTCAGGACCACCGAAGGTCAGAAAGGATCCCAAACGTGGGGACTTTTTAGCCCTGAAGTACTTGTTGAAGTGGAAGAGACGTGCTTACAAGGGATCCGTCACCGACGAGCTTGCTGCATTCGAAGAGAGCTCGTGGGTTCATGAGCTGGTTCTCAGTGCCTGTTCACAGGCTATACGACTGGAGATGTGCTCGCTTATTGAATTCTTGTGCGCGCAGAGCCCCGTGCGTCGAGCCAAGTTTTTGAACCTCTTGATGAACTTGCTATCCTCAACGCGCGGAGCTGGAGAAAGTGCTGCAGAGTACTTTGATCTTCTATTCAAAATGGTAGAAGCAGAGGAGTCCCGATTGTTCCTTACAGTCAGGGGTTTTTTGAAAACTGCATGCTCGTTGATCACCGAAGAAGTTTCACGAATAGAGGCGCAGGAGTGGAGTGTACATACAGACATCTCACAAGGCTACATCCTCCACAAGCTGATAGAACTGCTGAGCAAATTTTTACAAGTGCCCAATATCCGCACCAGGTACGCAGATTGTATCATGGGTGTCCAGCAGTCAGCTATGATGCGTAGTATTTCAGTTTGCAAAGATTTCTGACAATGTGGGTTGTTTGTGATTGCTATTCTCACCATCTGAGGTTAGGATTCATGTAATTCCATTTTTTCTGTGCGTCGGATCTTCGCGAGTGGTCTTAGGGAGATAAAACGCCATTATTGCTGGATGTATTTTACCCAGCTCAATCTCTCGATAACTAGAGTTAATAATATGGAAGGGATGGACGGTGTCTGGCAATAATTTCATGAGTGAAGAAAGTCGTCGAGGTTAGGTGCATATACACTTATAACACAGCAGCATAAGCAGCAATTGCGCACCAAGCAGTCGTTTCTGATGCGCCTGTGGTTTGGTAATGTTTTGGGATTGTCGAATGTATGGTACGGTAGTACATCTCGCAGTTCATATCTCCTACCAGCGTGTGTCGTGTTTTTGAAAGGGCTGTTTTTTTACACAGATCCACCTATTAGAATGATAGAAGATTTTGAAAATGTTGAAACAATTGTCGGGCTTGACGCACATTCCCTTCAGCGAAGAGATTTTGTCCAGGCTAGGTGCCTTAAAGGCTGGTGGCACCGGACTTCCTACATAGCAACATCGGCAGCGACCTGGCACGAAGCAGTCGTTGCTGATGCTGCGGAGGTTCTTAATTAGGATCATGTTTTCGTGTATCTTTCTAAGTGTTGGATTGTGGGATGAGGGTTTATGCATGAAACCCTGCTTGCGCAACTTCTGGATGCCCGTCAGATTTTCAAGCACGATAATGTTGGTCTGTGCTTGCTGAGTTTTGGATGGTGGGATGAAGGTTTATGAAAGAGAATCTGCTTGCGCAAATTCTGGAGGCGCTTCTCGCGTTGAGAGGTCTGGTAGTTCAGAAAACCAAGCTCACTGGTGACTGTGGTCGTCTTTTACGGGAATTATTGGATGGTCTACTTCAAGAAAGCTATGAGAACAAGCGCCAGTTTATCCGCGCTTGCATCTGTGGCCTTCAATCTCATAGTCGAGAAAAGAAGGATCGTACATCCTTGGTGAGTAGTGTTCTGATGATGGCTGTTCTGAAAGCCTGTCTCAGTGTGCACGGTGAAATGCAATTCGTCATTTCGAAAGAGTTGTCGCTTGCATTCTTATCTAATAAGAGGCTGATGCAATCTCATACAAATTCATGTGCAGTTTATTTTGGAGCAGCTCTGTGACATCATTTGTCCAACCAAGCCAGAGCAGGCTTACATGATGGTTCTCAACAAGGCTCATACGCAGGAGGAGTTCATCAGAGGATCAATGACAAAAAATCCATACTCCAGTCTGGAAGTCGGCCCACTTATGAGGGATGTGAAGAACAAAATTTGTCACCAGCTAGAGTTACTGGGTCTTATTGAGGATGATTATGGGATGGAACTTTTAGTCGCAGGAAGCATTATTGCTCTAGATCTGAGTGTTGCTCAGGTCTATGAGCAGGTGTGGAGGAAGTCCCATAATCAGACAACAACATCTCCTGCTCCGTCAAGCATTTTGGCCGCAACAGGGGCCACTGCTGGCAAGGACTGTCCACCTATGACAGTTACTTATAGACTCCAAGTAAGTTGGATATCGCCTCATTTGGGCCCGACTAATGTATCTACTTTAGTTAGAGCCGAGTCTTAAAGAAGAGGGGTTCTGATGCAGTTCAAGAAGTCCGTGAGTCCAGTCACGGTGATTCACCTTTTACTGTCCTTCTAAACACGGCTAGATAAGTTTGCATCCTGTGAGCAGCTTCCAAATCTGGAGAAGATCTTAAACTGACTCCTCTCCCTAGAAGTCGTTCATTATCTCTCCGTTTCGTTAAATGTCGTGTAACCCTAGTCGGGCGTTAAATGACTTTCTTCCTTATGCTTGAGCCCGAAGTTTCAGTGAGACCCTGAGTTACTGTTCTATATATTTCTCTTTGTCGAGGATTCCTGCAGATTAATGATATTAGTATTGCACTTTACAGGGTCTGGACGGAGAAGCGACGGAGCCTATGATCAAGGAGTTAGAAGAAGATCGGGAAGAATCCCAAGATCCTGAGGTGGAATTCGCCATCGCGGGTGTGATGAGAGAATGCGGCGGCCTGGAAATAGTTCTGAATATGGTACAGGTACGGAGAGAATTTTGTGTATGGTGTGCTTCAATTCTCTGGTAGATCATTTTCGGCTGTTTTTCGCCATTTAAAAGTTCTGGTTCGCAGTATTTCCAGTTTCGTGATACTGTCACAAGTTTATTGCACTTTTTTATTACTTAGCTGACTTAGTTATTGTACTGTTGTTTCATTGGAAACTGTGCAGAATCTAAGTAACCTTGAGATGAAGGCTGCACAAGAAGAGCTGACATTAGTTTTGAAGCTTCTAATGTTCTGCTGCAAAATACGAGCAAACCGGCAAGCGTTGCTCCAGCTGGGTGCCTTGGGTGTCCTTTTGGAAGCAGCTCGAAGAGCATTCTCAACTGATGCAGCCGAGCCGGCTGAGGGGCTTTTGCTCATAGTCGAAAGTCTGGTCTCTGAGGCGAATGAGAGCGATCTGGGGGTGTCTGAAAGTTTTGCAAGTTCATCCAAGTCTGGCGCTGGGACTGGGGTTCAGGCGGCCAGTGCTGTGCACATGTTCTTGGAAAAGCTCTCCCACCCAACTGCAGTAAATAAGTCAAACAAGCAGCAGCGCAACAATGACACTGTGGCCAGGATTCTCCCTTACCTCACATATGGGGAGGAGTCTGCGATGGAGGTTCTTGTTGATCATTTTCTACCTTACTTGCAGGATTGGGGTGGTTTTGACAGACTCATCAAAGCGCACCATGAAAGCCCCAAGGATGAGTTGTTGGCCCACCAAGCCGCTACTCACCAACTTGCATTGGACAACTTTGTTAAATTGACAGAGTCAATCAAGTTAAACCCAAATGGAGAAAAGCTCAAGAGCCTTATCATGGAAAGAAACATCACTACAGGTAACTATCCGGAGCTAAATAAGTCACCATCTTTGTAAGTTCAGTCGCACTACGTTTGCTTAGTCTTCAGGGTTTCTTTTTCAGTAAGTCGGAATAAGCCTTCTTCGTGGACCCACTGGACTTTTGCTTTTTTCTAGAATTCCTACTGTTTTAGACTCGCTGGCTTTTTGCCTTGGTGTGACGTGCAGTCTGGGCACATCGGTGTATAGAGCTCCGCTGTGTTGCTGGAGAGTGCTATTTAATTGCATTTGCTTCCCTAAGTAAGTCTGGACGGGCTTTTGACAGTCTAGTCGTTCTTCTCTGGTCGCAGGGGCTATTCGTTATATCAAAGGCGCTTTCACCATCTTTGAGAAAGGATCCGATTACAGGTCAACTCCGGAGTGGGCACAAGGCTTAGAAATGCCATCTGTTCCGATCATATTGTCCATGCTGAGAGGTCTCTCTAGAGGTCACCTTGCTACACAGCAGTGTTTGGATAAGGAGGGCGTTCTCGCCCTACTACACGCTCTAGAAGGAGTGTCAGGAGAGAACGAGATAGGTGCAAGAGCGGAGAACCTTCTGGATACATTGTCTGATAAAGAATCCAAAGGCGAAGGCTTTCTCCTGAACAAGGTGTCAACTTTGAGACATGCAACAAGAGACGAAATGCGTCGACGTGCCCTGCGGAAAAGAGAGGAGCTTCTTTCGGTATGTTTATTCTTGATTCGCAGCGTATGCTCCGTACTGTTGCCGCGCCGCAATTTAACTATGTAGCGTAGTTACGAACTTGCAACCTATATTTTCTTACATGTGGCCTTGCATATTTTATAGGGTTTGGGTATGCGTCGCGAAGTAAGGTCTGATGGTGGAGAGAGGATTGTGGTAACCGAGCCACACATAGAGGGTTTGGAAGAAGTGGAGGAAGAGGAGGCTGGACTTGCTTGCATGGTATGTCGGGAAGGCTACAGATTGAGACCAACAGACATGCTAGGCACTTACTGCTACAGCAAGCGAATGAACTTGTCCCTTGGAATGAGCAGCCACGTCCGAGCGGAATGGGTATACACCACCGTAAGCCATTTCAATGTCATTCATTTCCAGTGCCACCAGGAAGCTAAACGAGCAGATGCTTCTCTGAAGAATCCCAAGAAAGAGTGGGAAGGTGCTACCTTACGCAACAGTGAGACGCTGTGTAATAACCTCTTTCCATTACGAGGTCCCGCTGTGCCATTGGCTCAGTACGCTCGTTGTGTGGACCAGTATTGGGATAACTTGAACACTCTAGGGCGTGCAGATGGCAGTCGTCTACGTCTGCTCACTTACGACATAGTCCTGGTATGTTGCTCACTGGAACTTCTATGTGGAGTGGACAGAATACAAGTTTCGTTTGTCAATCCAAGGTGGCCGTTTCTTCGTAAATAGAAGTGTTTGCTTGTACTGACGGGAAGTTCTTGGTTCTTTGTTCATTCTTGCAGATGTTATCTCGCTTTGCGACGAGTTCGTCGTTCAGTGTTGATTGCAAGGGTGGAGGTAGGGAGAGCAACTCTCGTTTGCTGCCTTTCATGGTCCAGATGGCCAGACACTTGCTGGATCAAGGTGGAGCTCCTCAACGACGAGTCCAGGCCAAGGCCCTTGCTTCCTACCTGAGCCCACCTTCAGCTCCAGAAACACACGAGTTGGGCTTCAAGCCTGGCACTCCACCTACTCCAACGAGAGCAGGAGCTATGGATGACTCTGTACAATTTATGATGGTGCAATCTCTGCTTCTCCAATCTCTTGAAGACTGGAGGCATCACCGCCGCACGTTTTTGCAGCGGGCTGTGTTACATGCATATGTACAGTACAAAAGCGGGAGGCCTTTGTTCCCAGCTTCTTCTCTTCCGTCTTCTGCCAGGAACGCTTCCGATTTCTCTCCAAATTTAGGAACTCCAGAGAGTAAACGCTCTGAAGATCTCCGTCTCGGCGAAGAGACGAGGATAACTTTCATCAGCAGGGAGCTACTATTTACGGTAGTTCAGCCGATGCTGGTTTACGTAGGGTTAGTGGATCAGATGCAACAGTTTCTCAAAAGTGGGAGTGCAAAAAGTAGAGAACCATTAGATAAGGAGGATCGAAAATCTAGTAATCCCGAGAATTTCAAAGATGATGGATCTGTCCATTGTGGCATAGAGCCATGGGAGACGAGTTTGAAGGACAGGCTTCGGGATGTGAGTGCAATGTTGGGTTTTGCCAAGGATATGTTGGAATGGCTAGAGGAGATGCAAGGTTCCCAAGATATCCAAGAAGCATTCGATATCATGGGTGCTTTGGGGGATGCTCTCAGTGGTAGTCATACATCCTGTGAGGATTTTGTTCGGGATGCAATTGCATCCAGCCAATTTAGATAACAGGAGCTCCCCAACCTCAGAGTAATCTGTTCGTACGTTATATAGTCTGGGAATCAGGTGAGCTTTCACTATCCTGATTCCCCTAGCTGAGGTTGGAGCTTGTGTGCAATTTAGCTGCACAAATCATCCAATTCCTTTTTGTACCATAGGTTGTGAAAGTCCGTGATTGAGCATATTAGGTGTAGCTTAGCATTTTGATGTCTCAAGATGAACTAATGAGTCTAGGCTTTGAAATGGCAAGGTATTCCAATTACAATTTTACATGTAAAGGTGAAAGATGAGAGCGGTTTGTCCATTTGAGAATGCAAGAACTTATTTAACCTCATATGCCCTCTGTGAGCACCACGAGTGTTTAATTCGTCAGTTTCTATCCACGCCATCTGAGACTTTTCGCTGGCGCTTGTTGCCTGTTTACTCACAGCTCCGTTTAGAAAGAACGTCTAAATCTTTAACATGATTTGGAAATGCCCTTAATTATGGAGAAAACAGGTGAGTGTCGAAAAAGTGTAACAAAAGTAGGTGGAATGTACATGGAAGTGGAACAGAGCACAAAACGAGGAAATTAAAAGTGATTCAATGCCGTATTGAGCACTAATTTTCATGTTGCATGATCCATCTACATAACTTATGCAGAGTTCTGGTCCTGGTCTTCTTTCCATTTTAGTGTCAACCTAAAAATGTGGCACATCACAAAGATGTCATACAAACACTGAACCTGCCCATTCCTGATCCAAAGAGAAGAATAATTGACTCATGATTGACAGTGCAATCAATGGTAGGTTTCGGAAAACTCTGCACCCCACGTTTAATATGTTTGTGGTCGATAGTCTGCTTTTGTGGTTGGATTCTGATTTTTGAACTGAGACCTCCATCTACCTGGATTGGATTGGTCCAAACCAGGTCGGAATAGTCGTTTTCGGTAAACAACTGAGAACTCCCACTGCACAAGGGATTGGCAATGGCTGCTCTCGATATGTCCACAACATGACTCGAATGTGAATACTCCTTACAACCAACCACTGAATGATAAGTTTCAGTGTAGGAAGGAAATGAGTTCATACAATTATTGAGGATAAAAAAGTTCCAAGTTCCACCTCAATGGCTGGAGAAATTTTTTCATACAAAAATGCACGTATAATAGACATAGTAGCAGAAGCAAACATTGGTCAAGCTGACCATTTGTCATTTGAGCTGGATAGTTGTGCTGCCAGCACAACGATTTCTAAGAATCCCCATTGATAACAAAACTGGGAATAAATTCTTACTACTGGCAACTGTGCCAAGCCATCCAGCTTATATTTGGTAACACCAGGAAACCAATTGCGTGCACGAAATTGTGTCTCCTTTCCACGTCTTCCAATCCTCGAAAAGACTTCAACTCACAAAGCATCATTGCTCAGCTGCTGGCACGCAACTTTTTTCTCCATTTATATTTTTCGTCCCTTGTTCCCTTCGTTTGTCCGGTCAGTAGTTCTGCATTGGGACTGTTCCTTCGCTTCCTTGAGACTTTCTTCTTCGTTTGACCACGTCTAAAATGTGCAGCTCTATCGGTGAATACATTTTTTAAAGGCTTGCAAGCATTTCCATCGTCAAACTTCCATCTTCTTGACAAACACACGTCTCCGTCGCTGACGGCGAAGACAGTTGACTGGAATCACCCGATACAAACAACAAATTCGAACGATAAAGTACAAAACCGTACACCGAACAAAAAGAATGAGGGAGAATTCTAGTCGAAATATGGAGTTTTCTTAAATTACAGCAACTCTCCACGGATCTGAAATACATATTCTCGAGTTCTTGATGAAAGGAATATTCTGAATTTTGTTGTGAAACTTGCTGGTCGAGAGATGGACGTCTTCTTCGAGAATCTGCGCTAATTGACAAAAGCAGATGACGAGATCCTCATCCATTATAGTACATTCACATATGATATATAAGAAAGTAGACTTCAGAGCCCAAGAATAAACCCCAAAAAAACTCATATAGAAACTTGTTGTTCGTAGGTTCACCATGAAAGATAAACGGGTGACATGGGGATATTGCAACCAGTACATCTAAACTAGTACGGTATGAATTTAAACAAACAATATGAGCATAACAAGAAACCTCTTGACCTATCACACGTGGACTCATTTGGATTACAGAATTGTCTTGTCTACATAATTACTCATAGCTTGCAAAATACTAATTTCCTTAGAAGTCTCTTGGTACTAAAAAAGTTGTGCAAATATTCAGAAGCTAACATTCAACTTTAATTCGAAAATCGAATTTGGATTATATTCTTAGAGACTTGAAAGTGATATATATTTAAATATGTATTCCACCATATAGTTTGGTAAGTGATACTCCCCAGAAAACGATGAACTTGTCTTACAGCCACTCGTTATCTTGTTTGTTCAATGGCAACCACTCGGACCTCGAATGGGGCGATGAAAATAGTTCACGTTTCAGATGAGCTTCTGTACCAAATTGAACTTGTTCTCGAGCTAAGCAGCTATGGACAGAGTAGGATACAAGGTGCCAGTCCCAGCAGGCAATTATTCGTGAGATGACCAGGTGGCCGAAGCCAGTAAGATTTGTGGGAACGAGGCTTCAGGCATTACCTTGTGCTTGGGGCCTGGAGGACATTGCGTGTCTAAGATTCCAAGCTCATTCCAAGGTCCGAGGCGCCATCCATGGACTGTAGACTTGATTGCTTTACGGATAAATTATTGCCCAGAAGTGATGATGACTGCACCATCTTATCCAATCATCTTCCTCCTTTGACCTTTTGTCTCATGTAACTCATAGATCTCCTGCCGTATCGCACTGCTGCCTGATTTCTTGCTTTCATGATGAAATTTGAGTTGAGCATTCATGCTCGTCACCTCCGATCGCATGGAGGGCATATAATACCACTTCAATCCCCACAGTTAATTTATTTAACTAAAGCTTGGCCGTTTCTGTGATGAAAGAAAATTTCATGCGTATTCAGAATTCCCGTTGGAACTTGTCCACCAACATTAAATTATGATATTAAATATTTATATTTAAATAGTTCGATGAATAATAATATAATATATTTAGTTTAACTAAAAATATTAAATAAAAATTAATGTAATGGTATTACATAAATTGATTATTCTCTTTTTATATTACCATCAGAATATGATCGATTATGTTATATAGTTGTAATTATAATTCCAAGAGTAGATATTGATTTTGATGATTAGTATGGTTTGATTTTAATTCTATTATTTCCAATAAAATGGATATCCTATAACTTATCCTCAGCGGTTGGAATTACCTACTCTTTGTAAATTCGGACGTGACTAACCAAAAGGATTTGACGGAAATATTCCAATTTGCAAGATGTGAGAATGTAAATAAATGGTTGAGCCCATATTCTGATACTTTTCATAAATAGAGGAATTTTATTTTTATTGACCCTTCGACTATACGTAAGTTGCAGCTCACAATGATCGAGCTGCTAACATAAAATTCCTGCATCTCTAGAAAAATAAGCACAGAAATTAGCTAGAGTTGGAATCAGTTCATGAAATTCTCATTGCTTATACACAAAACAAAGTAATTCTATTCTTTTGGAGAGAAGTTAAAAAATGATGTCAAGATGGAGTTTCAAAAAATAATAAGCTAAATTACAACAGTACATTTTTAAATACTCTTGTATCACATTATGAAAAGATAATATTTGAATGTAATTTTGGTCCTTTTTTGAAAAATTAAAGTACATTAATATTATAGATAATTTAAAGATAATAAATATTATATGTATATCATCTAATCAAATTCTATTGACTCAACTTTAACACAAAAACATATCTATATAATATCGATACGGAAGAATACCGAAGATGCAGTACTGTAAACCTTCGTGATTTATTTGATGTGAAAGAGTTGACCGAACCCCACGACTGGATCAATTTGATCGTCTTCTTCAAATAAAATAGATTCATCGCTGGCTATACGTTAAAACGTATGAACAGTTCTCAAAGCTGTCCGGAAAATGATGATCTGAAATATATTTGAAATATTCACATTCAAAAAATAATAAAAAACGTCGGTCAACATATGTAAAGTACTCGTGATGTAACGAGCTCCGTCCCTCCCTCCTCGGACCCTCTCTCTCATCCCATCCCCCGAAGCGGAGCCGGTAGCGGATCACCGGGCCGGTGAGAGGGCAGTGGAACGAGGGAGCGGTTTCATTGGACGAGGTCGAGACGACGGGAGGGGACGCGAGGGAACTCGGGACTCGGGACTCGGGAATCGGGACGGGGGACGGGGACGGGGACGGGAACAAGGACGGAGGAGGAACCCTACGGAGGGATCGCGTCCTCGAAGGACGGGCGAAGGACGCGGCGAAGGCGCGGTCGGCGAGCAGCGCGCAATTAGTGAGCGAGGGAGGGCGTCGGGACGGCCACAAAGATTCCGGATTCCAGACTCGTGTCTGAGGGGGGCTGCTGCCGAAAGCTGCCGAGGGTGGCTGCTGCTGCTGCTGCTGCTGCAGTGCGCCTCGTGGGTTTTGCGCAACGTGGTCGCGCATGTGTCGGCAGCGGTCCCTCATGGCTCCCTTCCCTCGGAGCCTCTCTCTCGCTCTCCCTCTTTTATGAGCGCGCGAGGGATCGCAATTCTGGCTCGTGCGGCGATTTCTGCTGAGTTCTCTCGCGCAGCTGTCAGATCGGATCCGCTCGTCTGAGGCTCTCGTTCGAGCGTCGAATTTCGCGGTCCGGTCATCTCGTTCGCCTGTTTGGTGCGAGTGAGCGAGCGTGCGTGCGTCCGTGCGCGTGTCGCCTGTCCCTTATCCCATCGACGCCGTTCTCGTCTCCGTTGCGACCGTCCTCGAGGATTGCACGGTTAGTTGTTTCTGACTCGGGTGAGGGGCATGGCATATGTTTTCAGGGTTTTCCCCTTTTCCGTTTTTCGGAATTGCGAGTTAGATTCCGAGTTTCTCGTGTCCGAGCTTTCCGTTCTGTTTGATGTTCATCCAACAAAGAACTCCGCTGCCTTGGCCCGTCTTCTCCTTCCTCCTTACGTGATCATAGCTGTGCAGAGTGGACTCTTTCCCCTGCTTGGATTGCTCGATCGCGTCATTGTTGACAATCCGAAGGCAAATGAGCGTCACTTGTTTCAGCTTGAATTCTGGTTACCTTTTCCACGGAACAAACCTTTTAATGGCTTAGAATGAGGCTCTGTCCGAAAATATCGCTCGCTTCTAGGAACGATGGCTCTGACATGTTTCCATCTGACAGCTCCAGTGTGGAACTTCGACGCAGATTTACAGCTTCAGTGATTGAGCCTACTGAAATTGAAGATTAGTAAAAACTTGGCTCGTGTAAGTCTGGGTTGTTTTCGTCCCCTGGAGGTTCTCTGAAGACACAGTAACTCGTGACGGCAGCGTTTGCGCCCTTCGAACTCACAACGATCGCTGTCCTGCCTTGTGTGAAACAGGTGCGGTTGGCCTGATTACAATAGTGCGCGCTAGTGGTCGAATTCAAGAATCAACTACTGGAAGCGATGGAAGTATTATCGCCTTTGATCAGTGGTCACAGCGTCTCTGTATCCGGAAGAGCAGCTCGAACCGGGAATCGTGTTTCCAGCAGAGCGCCATGTACGAGTCACATGTTGAAAATTAATTGTACATTTTTTGGGAGCCCAGTTAGTTCTGCATGTTGTGGCCAAGGTACCAAGATTCGTAGGAGTTATCAACCAGGACAAGCATTTGCGATCGATGCAGCTCAGGGTTTTGACTACGAATCTATCCGACTTCATGAGCTGCAAATGAAGAACAGGTTGAAGGTGGGAATTGTAGGGTTTGGAAATTTCGGCCAATTCTTGGCTCAGAGAATTGTGAAGCAGGGACACACTGTTTTGGCACACTCCCGATCTGATTACGGCGCCATAGCACGAAAACTCGGGGTGACATATTTCAGGTGAAGAAATCAAACCAACTGTACAAAGCATTTGCCCTTACCCCTGCCGATTGGACGTTTGTATCCAGATAATAAACTTAAACTGGGAACCTGTTTGTACAGGGATGCAGATGACTTCTGTGAAGAACATCCAGAGGTTGTCATCTTGTGCACCTCAATACTTTCCACTGAATCAGTTCTTGCATCTTTACCTATCCAGCGGTTGAAAAGGAATACTCTCTTTGTCGACGTGCTCTCTGTCAAAGAGTTCCCTAGGAATCTCTTTCTTCAGGTATTGTCACTGCGACTCCGATTCAATTTGGGATGTCCTTCTCTGGTTATTCTGTATTTTTATGTCAGCCGAGCGCTCAGATTACGCTGGGTATGCAAGAATGTATCACAAGAATAGACCAATCCTAAACTTTTTGGTTTTTTAAATCTAAGTGTTTTTTGAAATTCAATCGACCAACTTTGGAAGACCTCTCTGGAGACTCTATCTGACATGAATGTAATAACGAGCATGCAGTTTTAAGCTAGAAAGTTTCTAAAAGGTGTCGCATTTGTCAGCTTAGAGGTAGTGAGAACACTGGTGATTCTGTTTCGCAGGTGTTGCCCTCAGAGTTTGATGTGCTCTGCACTCATCCCATGTTCGGACCAGAGAGTGGAAGAGGCAGCTGGGCCGGCTTGCCCCTCGTGTACGATAAAGTTCGTATTAGAGATGGACCACGCACAGAACGTTGCAGGAAATTTTTGAACATTTTCGAGAGTGAAGTAAGATCTTCTTCCGGTTACGTTCCCATATGTTAGTATTTTTTCGTGTGGTCGATGATGTGTTTTCTGGCATCAGTAGATCGCCTATCATATGTCTTCACCTCTCAGTGTCGGGGCAGTAATAGTCTGTATCATCACTCTGCCACATTAACCTCGAAAGACTGACAAAATTATATCAATCAAAGTGCGGTTGACTGATGGTACTGATTGTAGTTACTAAGTACTTGCTAGCAACTTACACATGGCTGCATCAGTAATGACTACTACTCGTGATTCGAATCGCCATTGCAATCCTGATACCGTATGAATCAGGGTAACTTCTACTGATTCTTCACTCTAGTGATCTAAACTTGGAAATCATTGGTTGCTCATTGAGTACTGTGGTTGCAGGGTTGCAGAATGGTTGAAATGACGTGTGAAGAGCACGACGTCCATGCTGCCGGGAGTCAATTCATAACGCACACAGTCGGAAGGTCAGTAACTGCTGTAGGATTGATCTGGAAACGAGGGATTGTTAACTGTCCAAAATGTTAAGTACATGAAAGGTTGCTGCCCATGGTTATGCAAAAGTCTGCCGATTTTCTCGAATATTGCTCCTAAGAACTTCAAGCTCAACGTTACTTGTGATGTGGAATAGCTTTTCTCTCTGCTGTGAGAAAAGAGTAACAACCGCAGTATGGTTGTTCGAATTGTTAGTTCCCATTATGCTGGGATACTATGTCGTTCTGTCTGAAAGTGCAGAGTCTATCTAGGTTTCAGTAGGTTCTCTCATGCTTGTGTAAGACCTTATGTAGTGCAATTGGCATGATATCTTACTTCCTTATTTCTCAGAAAAGCCCTTCCGTCACGAAGTTTCTGAGTGACATTTCCCTTCTAATGATTGAAGCGTTTTTCCTTACCTGCAGGGTTCTGGGAAGCCTTGGACTTGAATCCACACCCATCAACACTAAGGGATACGAATCGTTATTGAGACTTGTAAGTCTATCTTCTGTCCCATGAGTTCCGGATGATCGGTATTCTCATATTGATACTGATAATTGATTCTAGCGCTTCGACATCCGTCTATGCTGTTACAAAAACTGGAATGTGCTCTTGACTTCGGTAAATGGCAACTTTACAGAATACTACACTCAATCTTAGGTCAGCAAATGCTGTCATCAAAAATTTAGAAAACGCTGAACAGAAGTTTCCCAGATGTAAAATGAATCGATGTTCAGTTTCAACCCCAACTCATGTCAAGATTCTGATGTGGCGTAGGAGTACGCCACAATATCGTCTGCCCTAGAGATAAAGAACAATTCGCGTTCCGATTGGGTTCGTTGTATGGGCTTCGACATTCAAGCTAGAATGACAGGTTCCTGCTTTACCAAGCGTAAGGATCTTGAGGCTGATATTATTAGTATCAATTGATAACGGCATCTATGTACCGTTGTTGGATCTATTTCAGGTTGAGAACACGTACAGCGACAGTTTCGACCTTTACTACGGGTTATTCCTGTACAACAAGAACGCTACCGAAGAGGTACTTATTTTTTTTCAGATAATATCTGTCTCGCTTAATTTTCGAAGGTTGTGGTAAACTGACTTTGCTTTGTAGATGTGGTTTGTGAATTGAAAACGTTTAGAATGGGTTCTCCTCTTAATGGTTAATAACGAAGGCATTTTCTCCGTGTGTACAGTTGCAAAACCTGGAACGTGCTTTTGACACCGTCAAGTCTCAACTTTTTGATAAACTACACTCGATCTTACGACAGCAAATGCTAATGAAGAGTGAAGATTCAAAAGAGCCCAACTTGTTGAAATCCGCTCCTCCGACCGTAAAGACCTTGCTGCTGTCAGATAACAAGAACACAGCTGCCCCTGCAGTGAAAGGCATTGATGTCAATATCAATGTCACCAGCAACTCAAAATCTGTTCCCGAGGTACTTTCGGCAAAAGCTTTTCAAGCCAAAGCCGAATCCGAAATAAGTTGAGATGTGACATTAAGGTGTTCTCACTCTAGAGAAGAATATCTCTCTTGTACCCATGTCCACGCCCTGTATCAAATTTTTTCTCCCGGCTCCCTTTTCACTTTAGCTTTTAGAGTAGGTTCAGCTATCTGGTAATAAAACCACATAGAAGTCAATAATACTGGAAATTATTTTTACTCGCAGAACTATGCTTTGCAGTATTGTTGCCTCTACCTACCATTCCCCCTCGCTAGGTTGGTACTTCACAATTTCTGTTAGGCGAGTTGTTCCACGGAGCAACGAGGGCAATAGTTAGTACATCTACTGTATTAGAGGTGACTGTATCGGAGGTTTTTCTCACTTCGAGTTCTGTTTGTACGATAACTCTTATTACCATTATTGTTTTCCTGGCAGACACACATGTCGTGTCACACTTTACTTGAAAGTCAATATCCAAATGGTGTCGTAAGAGTGACTCGAGGGATTTTGTGCATTGAACATGTTACTTTAAATTGTGTGCTGGTACCAGTGCCTCAGATTCCTCTACATAGACAGCAAATAATGAAGGTACCTGTTGCCTCATTAAACCTCAAACACATTTTTCCGTCACTTTTTGGGAGTCAACTTTCGCATATCAGTGTTTTGAATATATTTCCCAGGATTTTTTTATAAGTATGTGTCTGGAGATTATATGCAAACTGGCAATCGGGACCATAGCTTTGCCGACGTGAACATGGAAAATTTACACTCTCCCGTCTTATTGTCCATTTCATTCTGCAGGTGAAATAATAATTCCACCCAATTAGAGTCGTTTTACGCAGGCATGACATGGCGGTTATATCTTGATATGACTCTATACAGGAGTGGGAAATAGGGTTGATGATTGAAAGATGATGGAAATTGGGCAAACTAGACCAACTCCCAACTGTAAGACAGCACTTTCGCCCATCGAAGCTTGTGTGTTTGCCCGTCACGGCCTGTACGACACAAACGTGAGTTAGAGATAACTTAAGCCCTAGTGTCGCCCAAGAAGTCTCATCTGCAAACCTAATCTATCTGTAAATAAAATTAAAAGGCCAAACAAGCGAATGACTATTCGCTTGGAAGTGAGAACATCAAAATAATAAGAAAAATAATACAAAATGGGCTTTTACAAAATTTAAAATATACAACTCCTCGAGACTTCATCTTCTTGTTTGCTCGAGTTTCATAATAATCAAAAAAATCTTTACAAAATCTTTACAAAAACAACTCAGGATTGTCCTAGAATTACCCTAAACTTTAGGGTAATCCTAAGACAGCTCTTTTGCTGGAAAAATTAGCAGAACTTCATGTTTGACGCTGAAATTTAAATCTGACAACGAAATGACTACGAATTGTCAATTGTTGCAAAGAACAGCTCCCTCAACTTCCAAACTGCGTCTTCGCACATGAATAACAAGACAAGCGTATCAGTTCAGGTTGTCGTGCGAATACATATCGCCATACACTCTACATCGCTGACATGCTACTCACATACACATACGCACACACATACACACATATAAGGCGCGAGAGATTACACACTCAAATGTCACAACTTCTTCGTCACAAGTTCTTCGAGTGAAACGTACGGGAAATTCCCCACTGGAATTCCCGTCGGTCAATTACCCTACTGGCAACAAACCGTCACCGTCACAAACATGAGTCAAGCCCAACCCACTCCACACTCGGAGAATCCAGGTCGACGCAAAGGGGAAAGTCACTCTACGCTCCCAACGCTTCCAGGCTCGACTCCAAGAACTAACGTTCTTCGAGCCATCCCCGACTCTATACTCCTCCTGGCCGAACCCTAACTTCACCTCTAAAGATAGTAAGTGACTAAACTACGTGAGCCGACTCGTAACTACATGACAAGGTACCAATTCACGATCAGTCTGTTTCATGGCAGAAGTGAACTTTCAGCTGGGCAGAAAACACAAGATGCCGTCAGATCGACAGCGACATGACGTCAGAAACGTGGTCTGTTGCGTCCACGCACCTTCCATCGGATTCAACATATTAAATCTTCCTGTGTGTTGGTGGTGCGTCCACCCGTCTGCTCTTCCAGAGACCTTATATAGAGATCCCCCGGTTGCTCCTTGCAGCACAAGCGAGGAGCTGTTGTCGTCCCAATTGGAGCTATGACATGAAAGTCACACGGGTCTGACAAGGTTTCAACAGCAGAGCAATCAGACATGTCTAACTCGGAGACGATGACTTGAGCACAACACGAAACCTCAATCGTATTTGAGCAAACGATTTCAAATGGTATTCTGATGCCCAACCTGAAATGAATTGTGTGAGGAATGCAGACATCCACCAGCCCCGGGTGTAGTAGGAGGCTCATTCTTTGCCCTGATTTCGGCTGAGGAATCAGCAAATTCTTGGTGACATCCAAGCGTAGCTTCTGAATCATGTCCTCAACCCTTCACACCTTCCTTGTTCAACTGTAGGAGAAATTCATACTCGGTCTGATACTCGGATATAAGATCCTGAGAGATTTCCGCGCCCAGATTTGTTTGCTGGCACATGAGTCTGTAGTACTGAAGTCCATCGTTCCATCTTTCTGCGTTAGTGAACGCCCGCACGAGGACAAAATAAGTGACAGAGTCAGGCACAAAACCACTGCCCTCCATCTCCGCCAATATTCTCTGCATGTGATTACAGAGCCCTGCTCGACCGTAAGCATCCATCAGTACAGTGTAGCTCCTAACGTCAGGCCTCACCCCGGCCTTCAGCATGTCATTGAAAACCGTTTGCGCTTCCTGAAACAAAACGGAATCTATTAAACAGAATGCATCACAACAACGTTGGCTAGGCCTAACAATCAAGCATAAAATTGCATCAAACTGTAGTTTGCTTTCTAACAGAAGCAACGACAACTGGGTCCAGTTTTCTGCTTGCAACTTGTTCTCCTTCCTCGTCCTGATGACCATGTGATTCCTTGATCCCTCTCTCATCCTCGAGGACTACACACTCCGTGCATTCATGCAGCTGTAGAGGCTCGACATTTTAAGTGAATCTACGATCGATTACTGCGAACTTAAAGCAGTGTCTATTCAAGGGCACTAAATATGAACCTCCTACACTTGAAGTTGTTGTCAATCAAGACAATGACAATACACTTTTCAAAGTCCGGACGACAGGGCATAAGCGACCATACCTCGTACAGACCGTGTTGGGCATAGCTGTTGATCAATGCGGAGAACACGAAGACATTTGGCGTACAACCAGCTTTGCACATTTCCACCCAAACCTCTTCTGCTTCCATGTACTGGCCTGCTCGACCGTACATATTGATCAAGGTGCCGTAGCTCACGACGTTTGGTTTGTGCCCGGCCTCCTTCAGATCGTTGTACAACTGTATGACCTCTTCTGTTGAACCATGCTTCGCTGTCGCATCGAGCAGAATATTGTATGTCCAAAGGTCAGGTCTACAACCATCATTGGTCATTTTCCCCAAAACCTCCAATGCCTTCCCAATATGGCCAGCCTTGCTGTATGAGTAAATCAGCGTGTTGTACGTGACCTGCACAGAGGACACAGAGTCAATGAAATGCTCCCGCTTGATCAAAGTAAAATCATTCTCTCAGTTGGTACCGTTTGATCAGAACTTATTAAATACAATTTTATATAGGTACTGAGTATATACTGGACAATCCTCCTAAGAACGTATATGCACGAAAGAGGAGGTAAATAGCTACCCGATCAGGACTTAGGCCGGTCTTTTGGATATCAACAAGCACATTCTCCGCCTCCACAAACAGCTCTCCCCTTCCATATAAATCAAGGACCGTATTGAAGGTGTAAAGTGTAGGTACACAACCAGCACACCCCATCTCCTTGTAAAGAACCGAAGCTTTTTCATACAGGCCTTCATTTCCGTAAGCTTTCAGTAAGGCGTTGTAGGTCCATGTGTTTGGTGCACAGCCATTCTTTTTCATGTCTTCAAACAGTTCCACAGCTATCTCCAGCTGACCGGCTTTGCCGTAGGCATTTACAAGACTGGTGTATGTTACAACGTTGGGTACGTACTTGTCTTTTCGCATGGCTTCTAGAACTTGACTCGCCTTCTCCAAGAGATTTCCACTAATATAGGCATTGATCATAGAGTTGTAAGTAATATCATCAGGCTTCAATCCTTTCATCTGCAGTTCCTCAAAGAGCCCAGCAACTTTTTCCAAGCCAACTTCACTCTTCGCACAGGCATGAATGATTGTGTTGTATGTGATAATGTTGGGACTACACCCTTCTGACTGCATCAGACTGAATACTTCCAGAGCCTTCTTGACCAAACCTTGCTTTGCATACCTGCCATGACCCGTGTGCACACAAGGACATTGTTAGAAAGATATTATGAACTCAAGGCTATACCAATCTCGGCTGAATGTAACCCACCCCTTGCGACTCTGAGATAAGCGAGATTCTTTCTCATATAAGTTAACGTGGAATTCAAATCATACAGATTGTGTCACAGTAGTTTCCGGAGACATCCCTCCACAAGGATTATCAAATGAGAAGGATCGTTGGCACTTTCAAAATAGGTCCCAAGTCAATATGTGTGGACAGAGGCACTTACCCACAAATTAAGGCTGTGTAAGAGAGTACACTCGGGGCAATTTCAGCTCCCTTCATACCGTCGAATATTTCCCTAGCAAGGGCCATTTTCCCATCTCTTCCGAGGATTCCTATGATAGTCAAGTGATTGTGCTCGGACAACACACAGGTACTATGGCCCTGCAAGAAGCGGAACACTTGCAAGGCTTTTCCTCTCGCACCTCTGTGCTCCAACTGCTTCATCATCTGAACAAAACACTTTGCATGAGTGCTGTCTATAATACAAAATAACTGCAACATATCTTATCTGATCAAATTCGGGTAGTGAATGGAACTGATGAATTCGTTGACAGTGGGGTGACAGGCGGGCAATTTGACTTAAATATACAGGCAGAATTCCATCTGCACGCTAAATCATCACGCTCGGCACTGTGGCAATCAACAAGGCTTTGACGCATCTCAAAGGGACTCAGATGTACTTTTAAGTGATGTTACTCCCTCGTCAAATCTCTGCAATTCTATAGCCAGATTCTTTGGACCCGGCACATTCAGGTACATTGAAGTGCAGTGTTTCCTGTTTTAATTATGACTTGACTGAAGCCCACAGTTCTCCTCTTAGAGACGCTTCTAGACTGATACTAGCGAAGGACATGACCAAGTTGAATACCTGATCCCAGAGAGAGCTCTGATTCCCAAAAGTCTCGGCAGTGCGGGTCAAAGCCAAAGCAGCTTCATCACCAGAATTCGCCAGAAAGTCAACCACTGCTTTGTTCACCAATTCCTCATTCTTATCAGATTTCTTCTTCCTCCGTATTGACTTCGCAGCTTTACTGGCAATTGGAAAGGGTTTAAGTTTCGGAGCGGTCGCAGACTTTCTATCACCCGAAGATGCTCCTCCGGCCCTACTCTTAGCCTCGCCTTTCCTCTCTGCCCCAGACAAAGCACTCCTCCCTGAAATCCCTGCCTCCGCCTTCGTCGACCCATTTCTTCTACCACTCTGATCCTCGGCTGCTGATTCTTCGGCTCCCTGGTCCTGATCAGCTCTCCAAACGCGAGAAAAGGAAGAAGAAGAAGAGGACGAGGAGGAAGGGGGAGAAATGGAAACAGGGGTGCCTTCGACAACGACCTGCAAGCTCTCGAGATGCTCCGTGGCCGCTCTTCGCACCGACGCAGACGCCGGCACCTGATCCAAAGACAGAGACCACCGAGAACAAGCCGGAGGCGCGACATTGCGCCGCCTGAATTTCTGTGCACCACCACCACCACCATCATCATCATCATGACGAAGGCTCACAGCCTTGGCGACAATCTCCAACTCCTGCCACGACGGACTCCGAGGGCAGGCCCCGGACACACTCCGCACATTCTGCCCAGCCCATGACAAGATCATCACTGCCCTCCCCTCCACGCCTCGACGATTCTCCGACGAAGCAGCGACCCGCGGCCAATTGCAGTCGATCGGTCGGTCTGATGGTCAGTGAATCGACATGCGGGTGCGGGGAAATCGAAGGCCTCGAAGGAGAAGAGGCAGAGGCGCAGGCGGAGGCTGGAGAGCGGAGGCGGGAGCGAGGGCGCCACATGCCAATGCAGATTTGGGCCGAATCCGACCAAATCTGCGATCTGTGTGGCCGCTCGCCGGATTCTCGAGCGCAGTAACTTTATCCCAACAGTTCGCAGGACGGCGTGATTCGGGGCCCGTATTACTGCAATGAGCATGACGTGGCAGGCCTTCCGGCGTGTAAATTCCGAGAGGGTGACCTGGCGCCTGGGAGGAGCGTGCCCTTCGCACTCGCCCGGAATTCTTTCGATCCGGCTTTCTGATTTTGAAGCACCGCATTTTGGGACTGGCGGCTCATCTCGATTAATGCTAAGGTTCTGGAGCGCCTTGAAACTCACGTCATTTTTCATTTTTCATTTTTCTTCGGTCTTCGATCTTTATTTTTCTATTCAATTTTGTTATAACCACAAACGACATTCCAACAAATATTGCACCATAAATAAAAACTAAAAAACAAACCTGCAATACCATAAAAATCGCATTACAATTCCCGGTGTGATATATAAAATTTGTTCAGCTGATGAAAAAGGAATCAAATCCTTTTGCAAATAACTAGAATATCCAAAAGAAAATCCCTTTTTTATAGCAATCCTCTCCTTGAGGATCCAGATTCGACTTTGTGCATGTGCAGTGGTCGAATTTTGCCCATACTCTTATGTGCAAATTGCATTCTTTTAACGTCATCTTTCCGTGAGATTATAGTTGGCAGTAGTTGAAGGGGATGAGTACTTTATAGAGTCAAGTTTTTGCAGCACTTGCCAGCAAAGCATCCGACTCTTTCGAAGAGTCGGATAATTAATTGCACACAATCAACATTTTCATTTAAGAAGGTATCTTTTAAAAAAATTTCAAGGGTTAAAATTTCAAGAGAAACAACTGTTTACGGTAATACTATCAGACACAAAATATATAATTTCTATCAGAATCCTCTTCTTTATTGTTGAAAAAAGAAAAAACTTGAAAAAAAAATTTATGTCCAATAGCAGTTGATACTTGATCCAAATTTTTATAAGAAGAAACTGATTTGATTTGATTATATGATTTGAGCTATGCAATAAATGAATTTTTTTCAAATAATCTACCAATGACGGATTGTATATATTTGATGTTGTTTCATGATCACAATGATAAAAAAGAATGATGTGATATATGATCATATTGTATTCAATCTAGGAAACAAGATTAGATGCAAAATAAAATAAAATATACATGTGAACAATTATTTCAAGAACATATATGTACAATCCATTACAAAGCATGTTATATTTCAAACATTGTACAGTTTTGCATATAATTTATGCTAACTTACTGATATATATATATATATCTAGTTTTTACTATATTTATAGTAAAAACTGGATATCATACTTTATGAAAATACTCTCATATTTTATGAAAATATTTAAATCAAAGTCTAGATATACATGTATATTTTACTTAATATAATGTTTACCATCATCATAGAATAATACATACTTGATTAAAAATTATGTATATCTGTAGAAATACATATATGCATCAAAATTCACATCATCATAATTGTAGTGACATAATTTTTCAATCATGATTTTATAACAATTTCATAACATAACAAGGATTAATTTCATCAATTCATTTGTATATTTATGTTGTTTACAAAAAAATTTATTCACATGAAAATTAAAAGATAAAAAATTGATCTATCAATTTGGAGTTGAAGTATTTTTTTCCAATAATTAAAACTTAAGGAATTTTTTTATTATAATTAAACAGGTAATTTAGTTTTATAATATAAAACAATATTTAATACACATCGTTTTGGACACTTTGCCCAAGACATACTTCATTGACGAGCAAACGATCTCAAAATCATAGCCAGTTTGTCCAGAGTTCATGCTTCGATTTTCACATAATTACAAAAATTAAGTTAAATGATGAGTTCTACTCGTCTTAATTTTGGTAGTTTTAGGATTTTACTGAAAAACAGAGTACAGACGCACTCTATCACTCGATCACGTTCTTGAAATGGTCTAGGTTTGACTTCCATAAATTTTCTTCTTCACGTGTTGGTCTTGGTGATGTATGAGAGAATGATTTCTATTTTGCAAATGGATTTCTTTATTGTACTTGATCACCTAATTGATTTTTCTCCAAGACGATCATACTAGATCTCAATGAATGATATATTTTAGCCATTTGTTGTTCATTCAGTCTCATATTTGTAAAATTTGGTGCATTTCAGATTATTTGTTAATGAATTTTATTCTTTTTTATGTTATTTTTCCTATCTTCATAATATGGTCTTCGCGGCTTCGAGATGTAGTGCGAATTGATTGGAAGCAAATCTCAAGAGATGATTAACATCATTTTACTCAGTTTTATGTTTGAAGGGAGTGAACTTATTGTTTACAGCATCGCGCCAATTTAGAGCTGATACGGTGAATATCATGACAACTGAAATCACAAAATCTTTGGGGAAAATACCATGAGTAGTAGTAGAAGCATCTTGTGAAAGTGCGGGACAATGGAGTAAATAAGAGATGCGTAGGTTTTTGTGGCAAGCCAGATGGAGAGACAAAAAGTACTTTGCTTATTCTTACTGATGACAAAGGCAAATTTGTCTTGGATTCAACAAGTATTATCAAAAAACATTTTCATTTGTGATCATGATGGTGTTCTTATACTTAATATGTGGATTCTCAAGATTTATTTTTTGGTTCATTTGAATTTGAATTTTGTAAACAATTTTCAGAATTTAGGAGGTTTGGATTAGCCTGATTTGAGTCTCCCTTTGACGCATTTCATCTATAAGGTTCAGATCACTCGTTTCTCCATGATTGTGTTGATAGTGAGTACCACTCCTTACTTTTCATAGCTGTTCTCGAGATCTTAGCTTCTTTCCGCGTGGTAAACTCTATCTCCTATTGCGTACAGTTTACAAGGTGTGATCATACATATTCAAATATATAATATTTAAAATTGGACCGGCAAAAAAGATATGAATTTAGCCAAAAAAGTTGTATAAATAAAATATTTCTAAATAACAACTACATCTAATATCTGTAAAATTTTCAAAAGTTTATTTTTGTCAATAAAAATTGATATTTGATATTTAAATGAATTGCAATCTCTTAGAAAACCTTTCTTTCATATATAGAAATGTCATTCCAATAATTTTTACTAAAATTAATGATTTAAATGTACTGTTGTTTTAGAATTTGAGTGGACTTAAACTGTATTCTTAAAAAAGTCCATTATGATTGAATTTTTTTTAAAAAAAAATCTTGTAGGGAAAAAATTACATTAAATGATTTTTCTGAAAAAAAAATTGGATGAACTGTTTGAAATAAATAATTTTAAAATAAAGCAATCATCAACTTATTATAAATACTTGTATAAATTCAACTTTATATTGAATCATTCTTACATTGTACAAACAAACAAGTGATCTTTATATATTATATTGGTATTTCTTCTTTAAACTAAAATGTTTCACGTTTGTTATTTTTTAGATTATTGCTTATAATTTTTTATAAAAAATTAATATTATTTAAAATATTTTAAATAATTGAAAAAATATTTTGCATTCCAATGTGTGTTTTGCATTCAAATTTTCATAGAATCTATTTATATTGAAATAAAAAAATGTAATTTTACAAGATAAAAATAAGTTAATAATAATTCAAATTGTTCAAATATATATGAATTATAAAACAGTTTAATCTGATTAATATAGGAATACTCACTATCAAATCAATCAGCAAAATAACCTTTCCAAAAAAATTATAATAGGAGATTTTATCCAACTAAATTGTATAAAACAAGTGGATGTGTTCATTTTCATCTGTTCACAATAATTTATCAATTTAATATTTAATGTTATATGATCATTAAATTTTTGATGATTTTTTGTGTTAAATTTGAAAGAAATATTAAAATGTTTTTCATTCTCTTTATAAAAGTGCATTTTATCTTCATTATCCGAATAAGAATAAACAATTTTTTTATATTGAAATCTGATATGAAAATCATAAAATGATATGAATTTAGCTAAAAGTAATTTGAAATAAATCTTTATTTGTGAAAAAAAAATTTAAGTAGTCAAATGAAAGATTAAAAAAATATAATATTAAAAAATATTGTCGTGAATTTTTACTTTCTACATCTTCTATGTTCATGCATAAGTGTACTTGTTTTTGAAAAATGAGTAAGTAAAATTTTTGTAGATTTCTATTCAAGAATCATATTGTTTTGAAAGCTTTGATGAGTTGATTCTTGGTCATAATCTACTACATCATCATTCATAAGTGATGATACTTATAGAGTCAAAACAAAAAATCCTTTGGAATATTTTGTTGAGACAAATAATCATTTTAATGAATAAAAAAATAGTTTCATGCTTGCATCATTTACAAAAAAATAAATTGCATTATAAAATGTTGTATTTTCTTGCATAAATTGAATTTTTGTGATGGATTTAATTTATAATGTCTCATCACAAAATATATTTTATCACATCAAACATCACGAAACGTAAATTGATTTATGAGCATAAGATTATCAAACAAAAATTGAACGTTTTCATATTTTTGAAATAGATTTTGCTACTGTCACACATTTCAAATTTCAAGTTTGCTCAAAATCATAATGAAACAAATTTGTTTGTATAGATTGAAATTATATATATTAATTTGGTTAGGTCATGATTTATATTTTTCCTTCAACATGTAGTCTGGACATTTACATACCAAAATGTAAAATGTGATATAGTTTGAACATATTTCATCATGTCTAAAATCTAGTACATTAGTATGTATGATGACTTACACATATTAAAAATGTAAGTAGAAATTTTTTAGTTTTTACTAAAGAGAGCGACTAGAGCCACACACGTTTTTGCTACGGCCACATCCGCTTTTGCTACGGCCACACCCGTCCACTAATTACCATGCCCATGCCCGCTTTTGCTACTACCCAAGCTCACTGCTATTGCCCAATTTCCAGCTATGACGCGCAATCAGTTGTTTGTATGTAGCGGGTGTGGCCGTAGCAAAAACGGGTGTGGCCATAGTCTGCCCCTTTATGAAACCGTTGGATGATTTACACATTCTTTAGAACAAATAGAGTTTCATAGTTTGTCCCATGCTGTCTAAACATATAACTTGCCCATTATATACTCCATATAAGTAATCTTATTAAACTAGCAAATCCATATCTGTCATTTAGTATTTCTTCATCAGAAATTGTTTTACTGACTTACAAAACTCTTCAGAAACTTGTTTACATGCAATATTATCAGATTTCATAAACCTTGACAAGATTTCATATCACACTCTATAGAGTGTGTGATTTGATATTTGA